TGATATCACAGTGCAGCAATGCAAACAGACTAAGACAGACAGTTGCCTTTTGTGTTCGTTTTGTCTTGCACAATAGTCATCCAGCAGGCCTTTAAAAAAAAAGTCTCAGGTAAGGGAGCTTACAATAGGGCAGTAAGGTCTTCAGACTTTTCTAGAATGAACTTACTGTCTAGGGTCTCCTCTGTCTGTCTGCATCATGAATCCTTAGAATACAAATCATCTTTTTTTTTTCTTTTTGTCTTTTTCCAGTACTGGGGATTGAACACAGGGCCTTGCATATGCTAAGCAAGTGCTCTACCACTGGGCTACATTTCTAGCCCTTCCCTTTCCATTTTTTATAAACAGTAAGAGATTAAAAAAAAGAGAGAACGAAATCATTTGTGACACAACCTGTAGTTAATTGCAAAAGAGTAATACAGTTGATATAAATGTAGTTACCTATGAGAATCTTGGCTTTAATTACTGTGATACATATTCAGTCAAAACATGATAATAAGCCTCATCTACAATCTTATTATTCTCTTCCAGAAGGAAGGTGCTTTCCCTTTGTGCCAATGCCTACTTGGCATATGTGCCTCCAGAAAGTATGATCGTCATCAGCTATTGTTGGCAGTATCCAAGGATCAACTCAATGGCTGATATTTGAAATGAACTTGACTCCATGTGGCAGACTTTCATAACACACATAAGAAGTTTAATAATTGCCATCTCATGTCTTACTCATTCTTTTTGCTCTATGGAAAACCAAGTTCTGAACTTCCTTTGGTTGGGAGCAAGGTATGGTAGGTTTGCATCATCTCTTTCTCTGCACACTGGACCACATTAAAAAGGGAGCCTCCCAGAAATGCTGTTGGGACCAGTCTCCATCGAGAATAAGAACATGTGTATCCACAGCAAAGCCAGCACACACTTGCCAGGCTCAGCTGCTCCAAGGGCCTCCACCCAGGCAACCACTGCAACCCGCAACCCATCAAATATGTGCTTATGTGGACAGACAGAAAACCCATTAGGGACACAGCCAACTCTACGGGCCCACATTTCTAAAAAAGAAACCATATTCAGAGTACAGGAGCAGTACAAAATCACTGGTGTCACCATCATTATATCAACAGAATGATTAATCTCTTTCAAGGTATCTCACAAGTGAAGCCCATCTGGTTGCTAAAGACCTTGCCTTCCACAAAAGTACCAAAGACCCAAGTCCACCAACACCATCATATGCCTTTCTATAGCTCTGATTTTTCTTATCTCACTTCACGAGAATATAACTATTAGCAATTAAAAGCAATTTATAAGAAAATGCAATTATTCTTCAGTAAAGTGTGTTGGGGGGGAAACAATTACAGGGCTTCAAAGTCATCTTGTAAGAAATGATTGTTAGTCGTGCTTTTCCTAAGTTAATTCAGCACATCTTATTTTTGTTTGACAGCAAAATGTACCAACATTTTTCTTGTATTACTGATGACGGGAATGAGACCACCCCATTCCATCTCCCAAAGGCCACTGTCTCCCTCAGCCTTGTTGTCACTCTACACACTGCATGCTGAAGGAGAAAGAACTAAAAAAGCATTCAGGAAGTGGGGCTGCCTGTATTGCTGAGTTCTCATTTGTGGTTTTCTTTTCTTTTGTATTTTGAGATCATTTTGACCACTGTTTTACCACCGAAGCTTAGAAACTATTTGGTTTTCTATAAATTAAGATTGCTTAGCTCTTCTCAAATATTCTTTGGGAGTGATCTTAAAGTCATTTCTAATTGAAATGTTCAACATGAAATTTGTTTAGTTGTCCACATGGGGACGTGTGCAAGCTGTAAGCATTCACCACACTTTGACATGGACCAAGACACAGACCTAGAGGGTGTCAGCTCTGCACACAAAGGCTGCGGTGCTCCCTCCAGGGGGACCAGGTGGCTCAGACAATGGGGCTGATCACAACTTAATCAGCTCTCCCCCTTTTTTTCTCATCATTTTTGTGACTTTCAAACTCAAGTGTGTTTGCCTGTGGACAGATCACTTCTGCTAGTTATTTTGGAATAGAAACAGCTTTAGAAATATGTTTCTACTTCTAGTTTCTAGAAATAACATTGTTAAATGTAGGTGTAGCAGGAGAAAATATGGCTGACTGAGGATCAGTTTTGCAGGTAAAGTTGTCCCTTCGCATTCCCAGGGTACTCACTGGTCCCAGTACCCCCTTTGGATACCAAAACCCAAGGATGCTCAAGTCCCTTATTTATGTAAAACAGTGAGTATTTGCATGCTATCTGCCCACATCCTCCACGTACTCTAAATCAGCTCTTGATTACTTGTAATACCATCACAACGTAAATGCTGTGTAAACAGTTGTTATTCTCTATCATTTGGGGATTAACCATGAGAAAATCAATGCCTGTACCTGTTCAGATCAGATGCAACCATTGGAGGTCTAACTACATTTTTGATTTGCGGTTGGTCACATCCACAGATGCAGAGCTGGTGCATACAGAGGGCCAGCTGTGTGAGGAGTGAAGCTACAGGTGAAGACTTATGTTGGTAATTTCTAAAGCAAGCCACCGCCCTTGAGAGTGACTTAAAGCTTTCAACAGTGGCCTACCCTACAAAGGCTGTGTGCTGGCTGATGGTTTCTTTAGTGCTGGGGTGGCTGTGTGACAGGAGGGACTTTCGGTAGAGTGAGGTTGTCACTTCCAGGACTGATGGGATCTCACTCGCCATCTCTTCAAGGGCCTGGGGTGGGCATGGGGGAGGAGCGCTGGCAGTTGGAGTTCAGATGTTTTACCCAATGACCAAGTGCTTTGATCCAGAGACAATTCAAACTCCCAAACTCCTTCTAGATAAAAATAGCCCCAGGAATCCCAAAAGGAGCTAATCGCCTCTTCTTTCACAGAACTACTGAGGGATTTGTCATTGTACAAATTAAGTTTTGAATCCTGTTTTCTACCATCCCAGTTCCTTTATTCTTCCCAGTATATGAGGTGAAATGCAGTCATCACTTGTATTTTTGTCTACTGTGATATTGGTGATAATCTCAATGTTTTGAGAAGAAATTATTAAATATAAGGTTTCTGTTTCTTCCTCTCCAAATAAGGGCTAAACTACCCTGTGCTGTAGTAACTGCTTTACAATACACACGCGTACTGATCCCCCTTATCTCAGCTTTATCTCTTAATGACTTCCTTAACCTAAACCTTTTTTCTTTGTGTACTTTAGACAGGGTCTCACTATGTAGCCCAGGCTGGTCTCATACTTGCAGTCATCCTGCCTCAGCCTCCCAGATGTTGGAATTACAGGAGTGCACCACTATGCCCAGCCTCAACCTAAAACTTTGGCAGCACAGAGCAGGTTTGCTCTGTGTTTGCTAACTTCCCTTCTTAGTGTCCCACCTGTGTCTATCCTTCCCTTTTCCAGTGCATCTGCTTCTCCATTCTCTACATTTCTAGCCTTTCTTCAAATTCTCTTTCCCTCTTGAGGTTGTTTTCATGGGCCCCAACTTCCTTTGACACACTGGTCCACCTTCCGTTTGACAACTACACATTGTCTGGGGTTACTCACCCTCATATATCAAATTGGAGCATGAAATGGACAGCATTAAATGATGTTTTACCTACAAAGGCAGTGATTGCACATGGTTCCATTGATTTTGTGCATCTTCTTACCACAACACAAATTCTGTGTTCCTAGTGTCTAAGGCAGCCTTTATTCTGTGTAGGTGTTTCCTACTAAAAAAGATAGACCCTGACTATTCTTAAGATGGCAAAATAGTAGATAAGCTTTCATTTTAATCTGAAAATGACCCTAATCCACTAATACACTCACTAGGGATGACTTGGGATGTCTGTGATTTCCTTTACAAAAAAATCCTGCTACAGCCTAAAACATAAATATAAAACTTTAAGGTTCTGGAAGTTATGGGTGATTTATAAATATTATAGATTTTTAATAGATTCTGTACTTCAAAAAGATCATTCACAGAATTATCACAACATTCTATATTCAAAAGATTATATTTCATATTTGCTTTATCATTAGCTATGTTAGAAAGAACATTACAACATTGCACTTTAATTATACTGCATGGATTTCTCTGTCTCTTCTTATTGTGGACTTAATTCTATACATGATTACATTACTAACCTTGAGATAACTGAAACCGGATAAGGAAGAATCTTGTGCGAAAATACACATATTTTTAAAGCTAAAAAATTTATAAGATATTTAATGTCAAATTCAGGGCCTTACTGCTTTCTAAAATAAAAATATTCAAAATAGCATGATGATTAGTACACAGAACTAAATATTCTAAGGACAGGATATAATTACACAGTGTAGAAACTTAGGCTAGAAAGTCTGTTGCTTTGATTCTGATTTTATTTATTTATTTTTGCAGTAGTAGGGATCAGACCCAGGGCCTTGCACACACTAGGCCAAGGCACTACCACTGAGCTCCTTTCCTCGGCTATCCAGCCTGTTACTTCGGGGGCACCCACATGGGTAGAATTGGGACTAAGCATAGAAACAAATAAGCATTTCACCATCTGCTTGCTTAGCTTTGTGAATAGGCTGGAGAGGTCTGGATTTCTCTTCCAGTGATTTCACTTCCTAGATAGAGCCACATTTTCCTCAGCTGATGAATCCCATCTTTAGGACTTCACCCCCAATGCATTTATAATATTTTAGAACAAGCCTTTCATTCGTGAAATATCAGAACATACATGACTTCATGAAGCCAGGTAAACATCTATTTGGGGGTGGGGGGGTACATGAATGAACTTTGTATTAGTAAATTCAAATTTGTCACCTGTCATTTGTGAGGCATTAAAAACAAACTCTATAACTTTAGTTTCTCTGTCTTTCTAATCTAGATTTACACTGTGCGATGCAGTAGTCTTGGTAAATACAGGAAGAAGTCCGGCAATTTCCTGATGGCAGTAAGCCTATCGCCAACCTGGAGCCCTTGCATCATCTTGAGGTAGCCTTAGAGTGTGTTTTCAAAGATGAGACCTCTCTTCAAAGATCTGCTTCCTTTATGGTCCCCCAAACACAGTCATCTTCAGCTCTCTTAATCTTGCTTTTCCTTGGTAGAAAACTAGAATACTCTTTCTGTTGGGAAGTAAATAGAGAGCTCAGGATATAAATGAAAAGATTTACATAATAACAGTAACGAAAACTTCAAGGAGGTTGAAAGAGTATTAAAAGGACAATTAAACATTGCTGTTTAAGCAATGATTATTTTAAATGGTTTTATCTGCCAGAAGCTTTATTTTGGGGTAGGTGCCCAACTGTTAGGGCAGAGGACAGTGCCCCCTATGGTTTGCTGAGATAACTGCGCCCTGAGTGTTTCTGGACCCTGGGGTGTCATCCAGGCGACACTTAACTGTCTTGTCCCTCTCCCCTTTTTTAAACCATGTAAATTTCCATTTTTAACTTTCCCCCAAATCTTTAGCATGCACTTCACAGAAATACAAACTTTTAAAAGCCATTGTGCTTATTTTAAGAGATCATGGTGACCACGAACATTCAATGAGTGTGCAGTTTGCTTTCAGGATTTATGAACTCTGCTTGTAGAGAGTGAGTGGGCTTTGTTTTGCGAAAAAAACATGGGGTGCCTTGCTGAGCATATGGGCTAAAGATACTTTCTATGAGAGATTTGTCTTGGTAGAGGCCCTGTTGCAGAGGATTACAAGAACAAACAAGTTTTACTTGCTGATAAGGAAAGACTGCTTAGATTGAGATACTGGCTCGGCTGTGCTATGGTGGGCAAGTAAATCAAGGGTGCTAATAACCCCTGAGTTGTTCTGAGGATTGAATTATACAGTCAATCCTCTATATACATGGGTTCGATATCTACGAATCCAACCAACCATGGATGGAAAATATTCTCTTAAAAATTGCATCTGTACTGAGCATGCACAGATTTTTTTTCTTGTCATTATTATACTTACATGCCTTTGCCATTGCATTGGGTATTCTATGCAATTTAGAGATAATGTAAAGTATATGGGAGGATTTGCACAGGTTATATGAAAATGTGCCATTTTACATACGGGACTTGAGCATTTGAAGATTTCAGACACTAAGGGATGTGTGGATTACTACCATGCCTGGCTCCAGGACAGGCTCTACAGGAAGGTTTGCTACACATGCTGGAATTCAGTACAGTGGTACACCAGGCCCTCCTGACACACTAGCTGCTCTCACAGCAGGATCAGGTTTACTGTTTTAGAACTGCTGCTCATGTCAGAGAACAGCAACCCCAGTGATGGTCACAGATACGCTGTGTGTCATGTTGTCTGCTCTAGGACAGCAGCTCTCAGGCTTGAACACACAGCAGACTCACCTGGAGGGCTTGCTAGATAGCTGGGCCCTCCTCCAGGGTTTCTGACCATGTGGGTATGGGTCCTAAGAATGTGAATTTCTAGTAAGTTCTCAAGTGATGCTGATGTGACTGGTCCAGGGACCACACTTTGGGAACCACTATCTGGAGATGAGGGTTCCAATCTTGGTTGTATGTTAGAAGCACGTGAGGAACTTTTAAGGGGTCCATTGCCAAGGCTCATCAGACCAACTGAATCAGATTCTCTGGGGTAGGCCCAGTACCACTGGGTTTTAGAGCTCCTCAGGTGGTCTCAGTACCACTGCTCTGAGCTGTCCCTGTGCTGCTAAAATGGATGGATTTAAATGCTGCAGTGATTACCTTCTACAGTTTGCAAATGAGGAAACTGAAGCTTGGCGCACTGTCTCTCACTGCAGTGCTTGTTACTAAGCTGATTTCTAAGGTCCCCAACCCAGATCTACTGCATCAGTCCTTGGAAGTAAAGCCCAGGAGTCTGCCTTTTTGCTTGTTTTGGCAGTATTGGGGTTTAAATTCAGGGCCTTGTGCTTGCTGGGCAGGCCCTCTACCACTTAAGCTGTAGCCACAACCCTCTTTGCTTTACTTATTTTTCAGATAGTCTAATGCTTTTGCCCAGGTCAGCCTGGGATCTCAAGCCTCCTATCTTTTCTTTCCAAATAGCTGAGAGTACAAGGTGTGCATCACCGCTCCCTGCTTTTTTTTTTTTTCTTTTGAGATTGGAGTGGGAGGGGTCTCAGTAACTTCTTTTGCTGGGGCTGCATTGGACTTCGATCCTCCTATCTCCACCTCCCGAGGAGCTGGAATTACAGTACAGGCATGTGTCACTGCGCTCAGTCTAGGAATCTGCCTTTTAAGAAACACTTTAGGTAGAGTACCTGCCTAGCAAGCGTGAGGCTCTTGAGTTCAGACCAAGTACTGAAAAATAAAAAGCCCTTTAGGAGTCTCAGATGTACATTTAGGCTTCAGGTCTGAAGACACATAGCCAGTAAGTGGCAGAGTTGCCCTCTTCTGTTTCTGATCTACCTGGCCAGAAAGACTATTATGAAAGAGAAAGGTTTGCATTTGCAGTTTTGTTTTCTGAATTCATTTACTCAAGAAAAGGACTTTATGTATTTACATATTTATGAATATGTACTTATATGTGAGGGATAATTATATATATTATGTATTATGTATTATGTATACACACACACACACACACACACACACACACACACCCCAGACCCTGTGACAGGTGCTGGATCAAATGCCACTTAGAGCTGGGCACCAGTGACTCATGCCTGCAATCCTGGTTACATGGGAGGCTGAGATCAGAAGAATTGCAGTACAGTGTCAGCCCTGGCAAACAATTCAAGAGACCCCCATCTCCAAAATAACCAGAACAAAATGCACTGGAGGTGTGGCTCAAGTGGTAGAGTGCCTGCTTTGCAAGCACAAAGCCCTGAATTCAAACTCCAGTCACCCCTTCCCCAAAAAGACAAATGCTACTTAGAAGTCATCTTTATTTCATTTACCTATGCTGGATTGGACATAGAAAGGAAGGGCTAGCAAGATAGTTAAGAGCACACTTCTGGGGTCAGATTACCTGCCTCCTCCCACCACTGGTTACTGTTCAGCCTTGGGCAAGTCACTTAACTTCTCTGAGCCTGGTTTCCTCAGTGGATTTATAGGTTGTGGGGAGGATGAATGTGTTAACTACATATGCGTGCTTAGAACAGTGCCTCGAAACAATGAGTGTATAATAAATGCTGTCTGTAATGATTTTTTTCTATTGTTGTTATCTGCATAGCAGTACTATATGCATAAAAAGCATTTTAAAACTTAAAAGTTGTCTTTATACAGAGTATACTGCAGAAAATCTGTGAGGTATACCATGCTAGATGTACTAAAATATACAAACTAGTATGAGGATTTCCAAAAACTGTGCAAGGGGAGGGTGGGGGAACAGAATAAAATCACTAAGAAATTGTGTGTCCTCCCTGGAAAGTTTTGCTGTGAAAATTTCTTTTCCCTGACTGGATGCTAACCCCCATCTGTGGAGGCCCTTCAAGGCACCTCCAGTGCATTTTGTTCAGTTAGCCCAATCTGCACAGGCCCGTCTAAGAAACAGAATTCTAGTTTATTCTTGGAAGTAGAACTACTTTGGTTAAAGGAGAGAAAGAGCAAACTTACCAAAATTATAATATATCAATCATATAATTTCAGTCACAGACCTGGCTTTGGAGCACGTGGTATATTTTCCTTTTGCCTTGTTCTGGAACTTCAACCTGCTAAATAGATTAGTAAAATGTCAGCACAGCCAGAGATGCAAGCACATAAGTAATCCATTTAACTAGCACCGTCTCCTCCACAGTAATCCTTTCAGGGTCCCAGGCTGCCAGGGCAGTGCACCTGGTGTCGTGTGCACGCCCCCTTTTCCTTCACCAGGGTCACTGTTACAGAAATCAAGTTCCTAAAAGTGAAGGGAAGCTTCATGTTGAATGCTGGTGGCTGCCTGTGGATCTCTGATTTAACACAGTTTTAAAAGGACTTTGCACAAATGAAACGCACTTTTAAATCCTGAGACAATCCACAAGCTCCAACCCATATGCCAAATCAAAGCCAAATGGGGCTTTGTGTAATCAAAAAGCACCCTGATCAAAGAAAGACTGGTGCCCCCAAGGACCTTTGACACCTGGGGGTCTGAGGATCCCTGGTTTTGGAAAAAAAAAAAAAAAACAAAAACGAAGAATTGAGCTGAAGTCCAAGGTGCTCGATTTGCCTCATGAGCATAGGGGCCTGGCACATCCAGGGAAACTGAGGGTTTTTTTTTTTTTAGCAGTACTGAGGATTGAACCCAAGGCCTTCCCCAGCCCTTGGTTTGTTAAGACTGGCTTTCATTTTGTAGCTAAGCCTGGGTTTGAACTCCGTACATAACCCAAACTGACCTTGAACTTGTGATCATTCCGGAACTATAGGTATGTACTATCACGCCTGACTCTGAGGAGTTTTAAAAGGGACTCATTGAAGTAGCTTCTGAGAGGAGAAGAAGGAGAGGGCAGGGTTACAGCGAATGACTGAAGGGATGTTGGGTTCCCAGGAGCTGCAATGAGGGAGGGAGAATTCTGCAGAGGCTGAGGGGTCGGCTATTACTGGAACCAGGGTAGCAGTAGCCTTCAGTTGTGGGGCGGGAGAGAGTGAAAGGGGGAATATGAGCCCCAGAGACTCAGCAGGGACAGAACTGGAGAAATAAGTACCCAATCTCACTGTTTCCCACCACCCAATCTCCCGGAAGCAAGGTCACAACACACAGTGATCAGTCCCCTGGGCACTAGGTATGAATGTGATGTAGCCAGGGCTGGGGGACAAAGTTCTTAAATTTTTCTTCATGGAAAAGAAAAAGACTATCCGGCAACTATGCATCATGTGCATATCTCAAATAAGACACAGTGTATAGTGCTATAGTCGCAAATGTCCCCATATAATGGCCTTTCTCCCCCAGCACGTAAGCTCCTGACCCCATCCTGGCTTTCCAGCTACCACATGACAAATACAGACATTCATAAATGATGGAATAAAAGGGACACATTAATTATGTTGCTTGTTATTTTTATTACTCGTGAGAATATAGAGTGGGACCTTTCAAAATAAGTGGGAAAAATTACAGACACTGCAAAAGAGCATTCTCTCGTAACTCTGGTTAACTTAATTTTGCTGAAAAATAAATTACTTTGGAGGTATGCATAAGACTTCCTTCAGGTTAGTAATCTAAATAGAAATGTTCATATATTGGAAGCTTCTATTCAATAATTTAAAAGTCAGTTATTAAATTTGGTAAGTGGGAAATTAATGCTCTGATGTCCCATCTGTTTTCTTCTTATTATTTTATAATATTAAATTATAGATTATAGTCTTGTGCTCTGAAGTACAGAACTTTAGGGATAGATTTTCACAATTTTTCTCTCTCCTGTTCTTCCTCTCCCCCTTCCTATGTCAAAATAAATAAAATACAACCCACCACAAATGTTAAGTGATTTCTAATACAATCAGTTTGCTTGACTTACTGCAGTAAGTCTCCAAACGCTCCAGGTACCAGTGGGAACAGAGCTGGGAGAGGAGCACCCCTGCACTTCCCCCATCCACAGTGGCTTCTGCTCATCACTCCACTGATTTCTGCATGGCTACTTCTCCTGAGCTCTCTGGACCTTTGTCCCCACACGGTGCTCAGACCTTTCTGTGGCTGCCCTAGCATGTCTGTGCTTCTCTTACTTCCAGGGCTGGACCTGCTCTCCCAGAGGTCAACGCTCCTGGCACATCAGGTAGCCCATCCTGGGGTCTCCCTCCTCACCACCTCGCAGAAACAGTTGAAAGCATCATTTGTTACTGGTGAGCACCACGCTCCTAGCACTTGGGATGTTGAGGCCAGGAGCTCCTCAGGCTCAAAAAAAGCATCTGTTGCCGTTTGAATAATCTCACCTTGCCCCCGATGAAGAAAGAACAAAGATAAAAAGATAAGAATGCATTTGGCAATGGCAGCTGGGGAGGACTGAGAGGCGGCGAAGGTTCATCAGGAATAGGAAGCCATCTTCTTTACCATCATGAAGAAAACCAGAAGTGAGACCACTCTCAAGAAAAGCGAAGGAAAAATACACAAGCCAGGTATAGATAATTATGAATAATTTCCTCAATTCGGAAAATTACTCACCAGCCTATTCCTGGCATGCCTATCATGTACTTGGATTATGGTTCAATATCCAAAATAATAATAATATACTTTCAGAAACCTTGTAGGAACATATCTATTGCGTAACTTATATGTACTTCCATGCTGGATGTTTTTAAAGTTCTTTACCTCAGGGGTTGTTGGTTGTCTGCCCTGTTATTCATTCTGTCTGCCCTCCTTAGTAACAATACCCAGTTTTATCTGGAGAGACAACATACCCTGTAAAGACTATATTTACCAGCCACCTTGCAGGTTGGTGCAGGCCTGTGATGTGTCTGATTCTTGGCCATTGAGATATAAACAGAAATTCTGTGTAAGACTGCTAAGGCTCCTCCTTAAAGATGGAAGTTATTCTTTATACCTTTCTAATACCTGCTGTGTAGAACATGGATGTAATGGCTGGTGCTCCAGCAGCCATATTGGATGTGAGGTGAAAGCTGCACACTGAAGATGGCACAGTGGAAAGGTCTCTGGTGACATTGCAGAAACCCCAGACTGCTTACCTTTGGGTTTCTTTTACAAGAGAAACACACTTCTATTTTGTGGAAGACATTTGATTTGTGTTGTTTTCTGTGGTATGTAGCTAAACCTAATGCTGATGAATGTACTTTTATTTTTAAGTAAAACAATTCTTTATAATTCTGTTCTAGTTAAAAGCAGCAAATATTAACAGAACTGATTTAGGTTTTTGGGTGGGAACATAGCTTGAAGAAAAAAAAATGATACATTTCCTTTTTCTTCTGGTGTGTGGTTCATATTGCCTTTAAGAATTCAACATGGTATTTTTTGTTGTTGCGGTTGTGTGTTTATGTTATGCTTCACTGCATTTGTTTGACTCAAATTTTAACAGTGTCTTCATAAACAGTTCAAGTCTTACCTTTGACGGCACTGCCTAAAGCTAAGAAGGCCAATTAACTTGAAGTTAGCACTGAATTTCTTCTTGCCTTTATTCCATCTTAATAGGAAAAACCAGTCCTATGTACTCTGCTTCCAGGGGCCAGCTGCTTTGTTGATGAAGCTCATTTTGTTACAATTTCTTCAAGTTCTTGCTCTTGCCTCAGAGACTTTAAGATTATCACAATCTTGGGCTCAGAGCCTGCAAAATAGACCCCTCTGTGTCCTAGGGCATATAGGATTTCTATTAAGTGACATGTGTCAATCTAGACTTTATATGTTTGCCTAGAAAATAATGGAATGTCAAAATCTTACATTCATATGGCTACTTCAAGCCACAAAATGACTTCAGTCCACTTCCCTTTGCAAGGCGATTCAGCACTCCGTGTGAGTTCAAATGGCCTGTTGTCTTTATTTTTTAGCATCCCATTCTACCTAGGCTATTTCTCCAATCTGCTCTTGAAAACCCAATTTTCAAGAGGAAGGGTCTTAACTTTGCTTTCCAAGAACTCAAATCAGTAAAGAAATAGTTTGTGGAAATAAAGGTTGTTAAATATTTGGATAAAGCCATAGGAGAGTATTGACTAACACACTGACGTTGCTAACAGTCACAGCCATAAATGGTAGACCTCAATTGGTGTGCAGATGAAGGAGGCAGTGTGGCTGTCCTCCTAGAGAACTTTAAATGGACTATTACCTTCTTGATTGTCCCGGGCTCTTCAGCTATTCATTTTACAAGTACTTCCTGCACAGTCGAGGGCACTTGTCTCTTTTAAGGAGGCCACTTCAGTTAATTATTTTTCCCTTTCTTCTTTTTTTATAACATGATAACTGAGCCTAACAGGTTCCATCCTGCCTGAGAGGTTGGATTTTATTACTCTTAAAAAGAGCCTCTGCCATTGACTACTCTGTAGTCCATTTTCAATTGTTCGATCACCAAAAGACAGTGAATTTATTTTCCCTGGAAAGATATTTTCAGTTCTAGAAGAAAGAGAAATTAAGTATAAAGCACAATTACTTTCTCAGCAAAAAGCTGTAAAGTTAAGTAAAGATCAATGTTCAACTAAGGACATCGTCTACCCTTTATAAAGCACTAAATTTAAATTGAAACACTAGGGAAAGTGTCTGAATGTTTTCTGTTATATTTTTAAAGAGCAGTATTTTAGTCTGCAAAAGAATTAAGTTTACAAAGCCAATCAAACTACACTATCTTATTTGAGACATGCTTTTATAATGATAAGGCAATAAGAAAAGTTTAAAATCTCTCTCTTTTTTTTTTTTGCTTTACAGTCTGTCCACCAACTCTTTCAGTGAGTTACTAAGCCTTCAATGAATACATGTAGACTAGAAAAATAAAGTTAATTTTACATTGAGAAAAACAATAGATCTGAGAGCGTCTTTCACTCTGTGGTTTTCTTATTTGGCACACAGGAAGATCAAGAGGCTTTGGATTCTTTCTAGAAAAACTCTAGAACTTATTTAAGATTATACCCACTGTATTAAAGATTTCCTCAGGATCCTGACTTTATGACTCACCTTTTATGATCAACTCGAAAGCCTCCATTTAGGGGAAGGCAGAAATAAAATGATACACAGTAGAGAGTTACAGAGCTCTCAGTAATCTAAAGACAACTTCCCTAATTACTCCCTCCTGCCTCACCATTCTGACTACTGTGCACCAGAGAGAGCTCATGGTAGGTATGGATTCCTCCTTGCAGGACCAGCCCTGACTTCAGGGCTGTAAGTTTGGTCTCCAAGTGTTAGTTGAGGTGGGAATTTGAAGAGGAAAATAGACACAGATGAACTGCAGTATACACTCACCATTTCTGAACTCTCAGCAGCTAGCTTTGCCATCTTCTCTGAGATCATCTTTTTCAAGCAGCTACTCAGCAAAAAAGCCTAAGAAATACAGAAAGAAAATTCTCAGCTCAAGAGATCTTTGCTCTCTTCTTTCCCTCCTCATACTACAGAGCAGATTTTGTTTAAAATCCAATAGTACCCTTTCAAGAATTTAGGTTTCTTCTTTAAATTCCATAAATCTGCATAAAATGCAAGTAGCAAGGAAACAAGTTTTTTTGATTACATGGATATATTTAAAGTAAATTTTAAAGACGGATAAAAAATGGCCAGAATCTCATTACTAATCTTTTTCCTCTTAAATTTCCCCCATGTTTTCTATGATTTTGTAACAGACTATGAGCAATAAATAATACAAACTATTTACTACTGTAGTCAGATAAAGTGATGCTGATGAATCCCACATTTAATTGTATAATTATTGAGAGACCTATTTGTTAGGTATAAGTAATAATCCATTTCTTTAAAAGAATATAATTGCACTTTATTACTTTTGCCAAATTTAAAATTTAGTTGTTTCTCTTCACATTCTTATTTTTCCAGTATCTTTAATCACCCACTTGGAAGATGGACAGTGGCTTCTCGCATTACTGGCTCCTTAGTCATCACAGTTAGTTAGATGTTCAGAGCTGCACATCTTTCTATACTGAGCAGTGGCTCCACTGTCCCGTGATCTGCACCCCATGTATGAAATTTAAGGTTTCCCATCATTTCCTCCATTTGCTTCTCTCCCCCAAATCCTTTTTCTTTTGTGTCCTGCTCTTATTTTTGGCTTGTTGTTTCCTCTTTTGGCTCTACTAGAATTTGAGACAACTGAAGCTCCAAGTTCAAGATTCAAGGACCTTGGTACAGGTGTGGGTTCAGGGATGGCCACTTTGCTGGCGGAGATGCTGGAGAGGAGGAGGGAGAGAGAGAGGGAAACTCAAGCCATGGTAGTAGCCAAACTGGAAAGCTCATAGAAGATAGTGCATAGATGGCAGAATTGGACAATGGGCAACCCACAGGTAACATCTCACCACTGGGCAGGGCTGTAGAGCTTGATAGGAGTGAAATTAAATCTGAAGGGCAAAGGAGGGAAGAGAGGAAAAGTGGTTTCCAATAAGGAAAAGAGAAACATGTATTTTGTAAAGCCCTAGCTTTGCTAAGAACTCACCCTGCATATCTGCACAGATATGTAACCTACATACAACCAGAGTATGAAACAGTTAAGCAATAAAACCCTGAGCTAATGCAGCTAGGAAGGACGTTTATAGTCCTAAGATGCGGACTTGATTCCATTTTCCTACGCCATGTACACAATCATGTGGCTTAGGACTTCTAGAGGCCAGGTCAGGCACATTAAATATACAGAACAGAGCTTCTGTTTGAAGAGCCAGCACAGATTTGGGCCTCAATTGTATGTGTTAGGCACATAAGTCATATTTCTGCCTTGGGCATACATCAATGTAACTCACACCCCAAAGGAAGTAAGACCTTACTTACTTTAAAAGAATGTTTATTGTACCTCTCTGTAGTGGCTTAAACTCATTTGCTACTGTTCAGATTAAAAGACCATTATAAAATTTAACTGCACTCAGCATTCTGAGGAGACGCGTGGGCAAGAGGGGGTGGTTTTACCATCTCTACCTATGTCTCTTTCCTAGCAAACCATCCTATCATTTCCCTAGGGATGTTTCATATTTAAGGTGAACCTAAGACAGTTTTGTGTGTGTGTGTGTGTGTGTGTGTGTGTGTGTGTGGTACTGGAGTGTGAACTCATACTTATGGCTTCAGCTACTATTCCAACACTTTTTGCTGTGGTTATTTTGGAAACAGGGATTTGCTTTTTTGCCTGGACCACAATCCTCTCCCTTTTTATACTTCTTGTTTTCCCATAGTTGGGATGACAGGCACCTGCCACCATGCCTAATTTTTTCTGTTAAAATGGGGTCTCACAAACTTTTTTTCATGGTCTGGTCTGGAATCAGGATCCTCCCAATCCCAGTCTGCAGCATAGTTTGAGATGACAGGTGTACAGTGCCTAGCTATTTGTTGAGATGGGGTTTCAAGAATCCTCCTGGTTTCAGCCTCCCAAGTAGCTAGGATTACAGGTATGAGCGGCTGGTGCCCAACTTAAGAACCATTTCTTTAACCTAGGATTGTTGTTTAGTACTTTGTGTTTTCAGAGGACTTTAACGTCATGATCACAATTGTATATAGAAAGAGCTGAAAGGAGCCTTTGGTTATCTGGAACCAGAATGTCCCATGGAACTTAGCAGGACTCAACTTGAACATAATGTCGGGACAAAGGTTACTTTGATATTCTGATTCCATTTTAGAATACCAGGAGTTTTGGTTCCAATTTGAAACTACTTAAGTTAGTTCAATAAAAAGTTTTTCAATTGGATTTGGTATTTAAAAACTTAGCTTTTTAATTTTTAGGATTCCTACTCCAATTTTAGTGGATATTTTGTTACAAAACAGTCATTGCTTTTTCTTTTTTCTTTTTTTAATTTTATTTTATTCATATGTGCATACATTGTTTGGGTCATTTCTCCCCCTTACCCCCACCTCCTCCCTTACCCCCACTCCCTCCCTGCTTTTTCTTCTCAACTAAGAAACCCAGATTTTGTTTGGGATGGTAAGGGCACAGTCCTAGGCAATGTTTGCTTATCCAGGCCAATCATGAATTCTGTTCCTCTTTGCCAGAAGCTTGACTTCCTTGCAGCTAGGAGTGGTCATATGGCCCAGTTCTGGCCAATGAGACAAATGGGAAGTCTACTGGGATGTCTCTGGAGTAAAGTGTTTGCTTTTCCAGATTAAGAGACAGCTTTTTAGACACCTGGAAAAGGCCAAGGGAGTGACAGGGATGCTAAACATCTAGTATCACTTTTCCTATTGAAATTATAAAAACCTATATTGTCTAAGCCAGGAGTCAGCAAACAAATCCAGCCTACTGCCTTTTTTTGTAAGAAGTTTTATTAGAACTCATCCAGGTCCATTTGTTTGTCCATTGTCTATGGTTGCTTTTGACAGAGTTCAGTAGTTGCAACAGAGACAGTATGATCTAAAATATTCAATTCCCTATCTATACCTTTTTTTTTTTTTTTTCAGTGCTGGGGACCGAACTCAGGGCCTTGCACTTGCTAGGCAAGCGCTCTTCCACTGAGTTAAATCCCCAACCCCACCCCTATCTACACCTTTAAGAAAAATTTTATCGACCCCTGGTCTAACCAGTTGGTTGAGTCTCTATTACTTGTAACTGTTATGACTTGGATCTTAAATGACCTCTGAATCTCACAGGTTGAAGGCTTGGAAGCTTTAGGAGGTGGGGGCTAGCAGGAGGAAGTAGGTCATTGGGGGTGTGCCCATAAAGGCCCCTTCATCTTGCCTTTTGTTTCCTACTCAGCATGAAGTGAGCAGCTTTACTCCACCATACACCCCCCATCATAATTTCCTGCCTCACCACAGGCCCAAACTGATGGGACCAAGAGACCATGGACTGAAACCTCCAAAACCATGAGTCAAATAAACCTTTCCTCCTTTAAGCTGATTTATCTCTGGTATTTTATCACAGTGACAGAAAGCTGACTAACACAGTAACTAAGTTCATCTCGAATTGATATGAAGACAATGATGTCCAGTAAAATAGAACAGAAGAAAACAAAAGGAAAGAAAATGTATGATGGTCTGATACCAGTCCAGTGTCCTGCTCTAGTTGGGTTAAAGTTCTGTGCTTTATCACCCCAGCCAGGGAACAGCATATCAGTACAAAGGGCTTTCACACTCTGCACTGACAACTCACCTGTTTGGTGTAAATAACAAACCACTGCCAGTGACTGTCCTCACTGTATTGAAATCTGAGCTCTAAATTCTGGTTGACAGTTTGCTGGGGCCCATCAATATCCAGCAGAGACCCCTACGGAGAAAAAGATACCATGTGATAGGAACTAAAGTGCCTATTAATATTCTGGGCATAATCTCAAAATGGGCGGGCTGGTCCTATCCCCAAGAAGCTATAGGTCTACAGAGGACCACAAAGGAAATCACCACAGTGCAATAGAATGGGAGCCTAGCCCAGGCCAGGAGAGGAAAGGAAGGAAGGAGGCTTCCTGGAGGGAGAGGTATCTGAACAGAAGTAGAAGCTCTCCAAGTTTGAGGGGTGTGTGTGTGTGTGTGTGTTTTCAGTACTGGGGTTTGAATTCAGGTCCTTGTGCTTACTAGATAGGTGCTTTTTTGCTTGAGCCACATCCCCAACCCCCTGTTGTGGTGTTTTTGCTTTTAGAGGGAAAAGTAGGAGAAATAGCAAGTACAAATGCACTGAGGCATGAAGGAGCCTAGCATGTTGGGATACAGTGTGGCTGCAGCATAGGCTGTAAGGCCTAGAAGGGGGATGGGCAAGAGAGGAGGCTTAGAGCAGCAAGTTGAACTGATCCCGAAAGCTTGTTAGGGAACACTTGTGATTTTTTGCTATACAATATCTTTCTCCTAGTAATGGAGCCTCAACTTCCCTTGGGAAAACCATTCCTCTTCCACGGTAGGCTATCTATGTAGGATGTTCATGGAATGAAAAATCAGAGTGCTGCATATGACCCAAGCTTGGACCAACTAGACAAATATTCTCTGGGCCCCTCATCTGATTCAAGTCAAGAGACCCAAGGGACAGTTCCTGGTCCCTGGAAACCCTGAGCACCCATGGTTCCTGGCCTTCTTAGTTCTCTGCTTCTGCTGTCCTCTGATCTGTAGGTCTTCCATCTTCCAATGAGTCCCTGTTTTCCCTGGAGTCATGTGCTGGTTTCTACTGCTTGCCACCAGAAAGCCTTAACCCTTACAGGATTTATGAGCTAAGTCAGGGACTCTAGACGTTGTCTTGAGGATGATGGACCTTCTTTAAGAGATCTCTTAGAAATCTAATAATTAAATTAGGTTGACATCCTAGAAATATTAGTCTGGGAGCATTGGTGTAAAAATGAATTGGGCGATAGCTATTGTCAGACATTAAGCAATAGCTAATACCAGAGAAAGGGAAAATGAAAGAGGCAAGGTCCATGATCACCCCAGTTCCCTCGCTGGAGCAGGTTCTGTGATATAGCACAGGATAGGCCTTGCTGAGCTGGGGTGAAAGAGATAAAAGTTTGAAGAAATTTAGGCTAGAATTTGTGAGCAGAGTACCATGAGTTCCTCTTAAATCTCTGGCTGAGTAGTGATGTGTAAATGTGTGGCATGAAACTCCTGAGACCAGAGAAAGAACCACTGAAAAGCAGAAGCTGAACGGTTTCCGATGCTCACGCACAAGGCTGGAGTGTGTGTTTCCGTCACCAGAGTAGAGATGATTCTGTGCAACAAGTTGGGTAGAGTCCTAAGAAAGGTAGCTAATGAGTAAAAGGCTAAATTAGCCCTAGACCAAAGATTGCCCTGGATCTATCTTACAAAAATTTAGTACAAGCTTCAAAAAAGTAAAACCAAGCATGGTGACACATGCCTATAATCCAAGAACTAGGAAGGCTGAGACCAGAGGATCATGAATTCAAGGCCAGCCAGTGAGAACTTGCTTCAAAAAAAAAAAAGTAATACCAATCCCAAGAAACTTAACTGCACGCTAGAACAAACTCTAATACAATAAAATCCAGCATTCAATAATGTGAAATTCACAATATTTAGCCAACCACCAAATAACATCTGGTGTGCAAAAGAGAAGGAAATGTGATCTGCAAACAGAAAAATCAGTCACTTGAAACACAGCTGGGGCTGGGCATGGTGATGCATGCCTGTAATCCCAGATACTCAGGAGACAGAAGCAGGATGATCATGAGTTAGAAGTCAGCCTGAATAATGTTAGTGAGACTCTATCTCAAAAACAAAATACAAATAGAAGTGGGGGGGGTGTGGTTACATAGTGAGCATGAGGTTCTGGGTTCAAACCCAAGTACAGCAAAAGCAAAACAAAACACAGATCTGGAAGTGACAGAGATGATGGAATTAGTAGATAAAGATATTAAAATGGTTACAGTCACACAGGACTTAGTGATGAGAATATGCTCTCAGAAATAGTTGTTTTGTGCTTCTACAATTACATCATGGAGTGAAATGAGAGAGAAGTCAGAGATAACCTCCCTATTTCTGCTTTGGCATCAGGGGTGGTGTGGAAGTCCCATTTGCCAAGGTAGAGATCACAGAAGGAAGAAGTGCAGGAGGGCGAGAACACACAAGGTTTGAATGCGAGGGAATGGCCAGGTGAGAGCAAAGCCAGGCTCCTTTGGAAGGGCTCTGCTGGGCGGCTTTCTTTTCTTGGGAGTTCTGGGCACTAAGTAAGTGCTCAATAAACAGGAGCTGTTATTGCCATCTGCTATTATTACTCTGGTTTTCCTTCGAGCATTGGGAAACCTGCTGGTGGGGTCGGGGGAGATTGGTGTCTCTTGTTCTGGATGGGAAACCTGTATGGAATATAAACAGGTTGTACCACCAGGTGATGCTTGATGGGCTCAGATGCCTCTCCACTCAGGTGCTGCTCCAAATGGCAAACCCATCTCCCAGCACCAGTTCTGTCATCCAAGAGCAACAGGATTTTCAAATTCCAGCCAGAGACCAAATCATGAGCAAAGCAAGTGTCAGTACTCACAAGGAAAGTGACCTGCCAGCACTTCACCCTGCTCATCTGGAAAACCACTTTCTGGGTCTGGCTGTCAGGCAGGGTGATCCAGCAGCTGACCTCATGATTGCCGACAGAAAGGATGGCCCTGCAGCCTGGTTCTGGGTAGTCACAGGTACAGGGATCCAGCTGCATGCATCCGTAATGCTGGACCTCCTGGGCTAGCTCCAAAAACTGCTCCAAGATGGGGGGAGGGGTCGGAGGAAGCAAAAGACCACTTGACACAGCTTGAAAAGGTCATGGCAGGGACATTCCTGCTCCTTCACCATTGTGTCCCTGCTCCTGGTACAGAGCTCGGTGCCAAAATACTTGGTGAATGAATGAAGAAGAGTGAAGTTAAATAAAAGAAATGAGTAGCTGTGGTTCTATCTCAGTACATCATAACAGCAATATAAAATGTACTTTCAAAACAACATCCTTTTCTAAAAAAAAAAAAAAACTAAGCCGACATCTATGTAGGAGGAAAAGTAGTTTACGTCTTCAGGATGTTTTATATGACAGTGGCCTTAATTGTCAGAGAAAGAGACTTTGGAAACGACAATGGAATGACAGTGGCATCTTTACAAAAGTAAGAAGTTAGAGCACATACGTACTTAGGGTTGGCTGTGGTATGTGCAAATTTGTAAAGACACTCAAAGTAGCAGCAATGATCTACCCATCAAAGTAGAAGCTGTACTGTCAACGTTTACAGACACACAGGGGAACCGAGCTCCAAAACTTCTATGACAAAGCTGAGGTAGAATGCCAAGGGGATAAATACAAAATCATGGTAGCATGTGTCTTTTTCTTTTCTTTCCTGTTTTCTTTTATTTTTTCAGTCCATCAATAAAAATCTCAGCGTCCGAGCTTTGAAGAATTACCTTGTATATCCACGTAAGTATAAACAAATCCTCTAAATTTTGGTTGTGTTTTGTTCAAAATCGGGGTGTAGCTGCCAACACTGGCAAAGTACACAGGATGAAAAGGACAGCATGGTGAAGCTGAGGCCGTTTCTGCTATTAAAACATCTCATCTGCCTGACCCGGGGCCCTGCCTGCCAAACTTTAAAAATGGAAGTTTAGCACCATAGCCTAAGGAATGATGGAGCACACACTTAAAGACAGAGGTCCTGGCTGCAATGCTCCTGGACCTCCACCAGAACCTGTACCAGGCACAGGGCACACAAAGTGAGAATAAATTTGACACAGTCCTGGGCCTCAGGGCTCTCTGCCAATGTGATTTGTGGCAGCAAAAGCTGGAAACAACCTGACTTCCAATAACAGAAGTTGGCAAGCTAAACGATAACACACTGAATACTCTGGAGTCATTAAAAATAACAAGGAGGACCTACATTAATTAACTTGTGATGTAATGTATGTTTTAGAATCTTTCAACAATAAGCTTTTGTTAATTCTAGAAAAATCAATAAATGTATTCTCATTTTTAAAGAGAGCTTCATTTTTAGTGCCTGGTGGGTTTATAAATTATAGAAATGGCTTACCTCTAATATGTTTCTTGAGTTCATGTCCAAGGGACATCTCTTGGTGCCACACTTGACTCACCTTTGTTTGATTGCCTTCCTGCTGGAAAGCCTCTAATTCCTCCCTCTGTGCCTGTGTGGGTTTGGCCCATTCTTGTTCAATGTCCTGCAAGGCCTTAAAGTAACATAAATTGTACAATTAGCCACCATGGAAGAAATGAGCTAATCTGACAAAAACATACTCATGTGTGAATAGACCAAACAAGTTATACAAGGATTTAGCATGTTACAAGTTTCTCTCCCCTCTTCCATCCTCCTCCCACTTCTCCCACACCTCCTTCTTCTTGTTTTGTTTTAAGATTGGATCTTAGTATGTACCCCAGACTGGACCCTAACTTGCAATTCTCTGGCTTTAGCCTCCTGAGTGATGGGATCACAGGTGTGTCCCACCATGCTGGATAGAAATTACTTTTTAAATTAGTGAGTAGGACCCAGGCACTGGTTGCTCACACCTGTAATCCCAACTCCTTAGGAGGCTGACATCAAGAGGATCAAGGTTTGAGGCCAGCTCAGGCAAACAGTTTGTGAGACTCCATCACCAAAATAACCACAACAAAATGGACTAGAGGTGTGGTTCAAGTGGTAGGGTGTCTGATTTGCAAGTGCGAAGCCCTGAGTACAAATGCCAGCCTTTCCCCATAAATAAATAAATTAAATAATCAAACAAAATGAACTGGAGGTGTGACTCAAGCTGTAGAGCTCTTATTTTGCAAATGAGAAGTACAGAATTCAAACCCCAGTCCAACACCCATCCCCCAAAAAATTAGTGCGTAGGAAAAGATTAGTTGCCATTTGGGGATTTTGGCACCACTTGGCAAAGAAAATAAATTAGCTCTTTCCTTACATGACCTAGTCAAATAACTTCCAGAGAGATTAAAGATTTAACATAAAAACCCAGAAAGCACTAGAAAAATTAAAGATGAGTATGCTTATCTGATCTTGAGGTAGAGACTTTTTTAAAGTATAATAACATCATGAAGGAATAATCATCCATAATTACACAAAAATGCAAGTTTCTGTATATGAAAGCTACGAATAAAATTAAGATGGTGAACTAGGGACAATGACTACATCATCTGTGGCAAAGGGAGAAGATTCTGATTCAGCAATAAGGAAAATGCAGTCATCCTCAGCAGGAAAACAGATGAAAGATATGTATTGGCAACTGCCCAAAAGGAATTCCAAACGACAGATATTCAGCATTCTTAATAATCATATAATTTTTTGTCTCTTAACTTGGCAAAGACTAGCGTACACACAGTCGACAAAGGCGAAGAAACGATGATCCATTTAGGAGTGATGGATTTAACCGGCACAACTTTCTAGAATTTGGCAACACAACTCTAAAAACACCTATCAGAATAATAGGTGTGAGAAAAGTAGATTGATAAAGCTATTACTAGTAATATTTGCAATACTAAACAAATTTCAACTTATAGTGAAAACCACAAAATGTGCCTCTTTTTGTGGGGTATTCCACACCATAGATTAAAGCAACAGTGAATGAAAAACATTCAGGAAAAAACTGCATCTGTAATAAGCACGTACACTTTGTTTCTCATCATTATCCCCTAAACAGTACGTTTTAACAGCCGCCATTTTCTCTTTTTTTTAATTGTTATTGTTTTATTATTCATATGTGCATACAAGGCTTGGGTCATTTCTCCCCTCTGACCCCACCCCCTCCCTTACCACCCACTCCGCCCCCTCCCTCTACCTCCCACCCCCTCGATACCCGGCAGAAACTATTTTGCCCTTATCTCTAATTTTGTTGAAGAGAGAGTATAAGCAATAATAGGAAGGAACAAGGATTTTTGCTGGTTGAGCTATACAGGGAGTTGACTCACATTAATTTCCTGTGCATGGGTGTTACCTTCTAGGTTAATTCTTTTTGATCTCACCTTTTCTCTAGTTCCTGGTCCCCTTTTCCTATTGGCCTCAGTTGCTTTTAAGGTATCTGCTTTAGTTTCTCTGCTTTGAGGGCAACAAATGCTAGCTAATTTTTTAGGTGTCTTACCTATCCTCACCCCTCCCTTGTGTGCTCTCGCTTTTATCATGTGCTCAAAGTCCAATCCCATTGTTGTGTTTGCCCTTGATCTAATGTCCACATATGAGGGAGAACATACGATTTTTGGTCTTTTGGGCCAGGCTAACTTCACTCAGAATGATATTATCCAATTCCATCCACTTACCAGCGAATGATAACATTTCGTTCTTCTTCATGGCTGCATAAAATTCCATTGTGTATGGATAACCACATTTTCTTGATCTATTCATCAGTGGTGGGGCATCTTGGCTGTTTCCATAACTTAACAGCCACCATTTTCAACACATTAGTATCATAAGTAATCTAGAGATCACTTTAAATATACAGGAGGATGTGTGTAAGGCCTTAGCATCCTGGGTTATTGACAGATGTGGTAGGGGGGGTCCTGGAACAAATCCATGGATACTGAGGGATAACTCTATACTGACTACTGTGTGTCAGGCAGTGGTCTAATTGCTTTAAATTCAATCCTTACAACTACCCTGTGAGGTAGATGCTGTTACAAAATGCTTCAAAATAGGTAACTGAGTTTGTATGTAACCACATACTATGTTACGCTATCATTTAAAATTATATAGACCATTTAACAAGGGGAAATCGGTAAGGTATTTATACATGAAAAGAAAATCAACTTACACACTAAGAATATAGTAACAGACCTCAATTTGTATAAAACAGCAAAAATAAATATAGAACAAAATAGGAGTGGTGGTACATGCCTGTAATCCCAGCTACTCAGGAGGTGGAGACAGAAGACTCACTATGGGGCAAAATCAGTGCAAAACCCTATCTGAAAAACAAACTAAAAAAGCAAAAGGAAGGGCTGGAGGTGTGGTCAAGCAGGTAGAGCACCTGCCTAGCAAGCATGAAGTTCTGAGTTTAAACCCTAGTTCTGCCAAAAATAAAAAGGTCTGAGGGCGTGGCTTAAATTGTAGAGCACTTTCTTAGCTACTGCTGAGCCTTGCATTCAATTCTTCCTCATAAATTAATAAATAACCATATAAAGGAAATGGATATGCAAATAAATGGAATATATATGAAATACACACACCAAGAGAATTAAACAGATTTAGTGTCTGGGATAAAATTTATTTTTTTGTTTTTGGTTCTTTGACAATTGTAAATTTTTTATAAGATGAAAACACATTTTATGGTTTTTTTAAATAGGGACCAAGCATAGTGGCTCCTGGTAATCTTGGCAGAGATTAAGCATGGTAACCTGCAGAGATTAAGCAGGTTGAGGCTCAAGATCAGCCTGGGCAAAATGTTACTGAGACCCCGTCTCAACCAATGAACCGTGCATATCATTCACACCCATTAATCCCAGCTATGAGGGAGGCTATAGCTAGAAGGACTGCAGTCCAAGGCTGGCCCTGGGGGAAAAATGCAAGATCTTACCTGAAAAGTAGTGAGAACAAATCAGGGCTGGAGGCTCAAGTAGCAAAGGGCCTGCCTAGCAAGTGTGGAGCTCTGAGTTCAAACCCCAGTACCACAAAAAAAAAAAAAAAAAAACCAGAAACTAAAATTGAATAATATATTCTTTGGCCTTCTGTGCTCAGTTTTGAGTAACTGTTCATGAGCAGTTTCCAAACTCCAAATCCCTAATGGGTTCCCCTGCTGTTTACTAATCCCAGCGCAGGTTTCAGCAGCAAAACACAATACAGCCCCCCAGGACACTCATCAGGACAGTTCTGAAGCTAGGATGGCTGCAGCCTACCCTCCCTGCTCCTACACCTGTGTCTGTGCAAGTCCCCTTTCTGTCACCAGCTTCCTCCCCGTGAACCACTCTGGCCCTGCTGAGGCTGCGGTGTGAACTGCGTACCTCTGCAGTGTTTCTTATGACTGAAAAGTGTCTGCTGTGTTCCTCAGTTTGACTGCCAGCCCCTCAAGGGAAGACCTGCTCTATACCTCAGTGTCCCACACACAGTAGGTGCTCAATTCTGGGCCAGTTACCAGGTGCTAATCCACACTTTGGTCTCAAGTAGGACGATGGTGCGTCCTTCAGTGATGCTGAGAGGGCATTCCTTATATCCAAAAGGAGAAAACAAAGCTGAACGCATATATATATATATATACATATATATATATATATTTTTTTTTTTGGCAGTACTGGGGGTTTGAACTCAGGACCTCAAATTTGCTCTAACACTTGAGCTGCTCCGCCAGCCCATAAGAGTAGAATTAAAAATTTTTAAAGTTAAATACATTTTTGATATTGCCATTTAGTTTTGGGGGAAGGGATATAGATTTAGAGAGGAGAAAATTTTGTTGAGAACTTCCTTTAGATAGGTTTTCTCATCTGTTTTGGGGGTGGGGAAAAGGGAACAATTATCATTATTTTACAGATGGGCAAATGAAAGTCCAGAGAGGTTGTGATGTCCAAGATGACCAAGCAAGTAAGTGGCAGGAATTAGATTAAGCCCAAGTCTGACCCCTACACCTAACCCTCCTACTCATGCCCAAGCCACTGAGTTCTTACCAGGTAGGTATTTTCCTACCCCAGGCTTTCTCCTGTCACCAACTGTTCTCCAAAGTGAACCTGCACACCATACCAGATCAGAGTCAGCATGAGCACAAAGAACCAAACGCCACCATCTTTCCTGAATTCTACTTGGGGTTAGAGCCCAGTAAGGACAGTTGACACAGGGCAATGATGTCAAGGAGAAGGAGGCAGGGCAATCATGGCAGTCAGTACTGCCCCAAGGTGATGAGTCACCATCGGGGAACCCAGGATGCTCAGCCACTGAGAATTAAATGTCTCACAGCAGAAGTAACTGGTTCTGTTTGGCTTCCATTGAAAAGAGTTGACCCTGAATACAGGTTCACAAGTCAGCACTCCAGTGCATTATATACACAGCACTTCCCTCCAAATTAGCCAGCTAAGGATGGAATCAAGGACAGATTCAGGCTCTAATTAGTGTTATGGTGCCCTGAAGCCTGCCTGATGCAGACTCATGTAAACCTAACTTCAAAACCAAGTCAAGTCACACAAGCCTTGGTATTCATGAGCTTCAATGACACATGCTCCAGTGCCCTGTGCAGCAGGCAGCTTTCTGAGAACTGGGAACATGTGTCTGTCCAAGGAGGGCACTGGCCACTTGGCTCTGGCTGGCTGAAACAGGCATAGGAAGGCCAGGAACATATGTGCAGCACAGCGACTGGGCCATGGGGTATTAGGAGGCTAAAATGATCGGCCCACACTCTCCTCACCAAGGCATAGGCTTGACCTGGCTAGGATGCCTGGAGGAAGGGCACATTTATCTAATTTGCAGAAAATTACTATACAGGCCAGCAGTGGCCCTGCTGAAATGTAGGTCCAGAATTGACCAAATCTGTAATTCTTTTGAGAAAACTCATATAAAATTGTTTTATATGAATCTCTCATTTTGTTAATGTTACTCAAGTTAAAGGAGGAGAAGGACGAAAACAGGCTGTGGGAAGGAAAATAGTTGGCTCCTTTGTTGTCAGCTGGCACATCTGTTTTAGAAAAGTCAAGCAGGTAGCTCTTAATAGTTAATTGCAACAATTCCATTATTTATTAGAACTCTAATTAAGAACTTCTTGTATTAACTTTTTAAAGAGGATTACTACTCACTCATTATGCTAGGTATGCCAGACACAGGAAGAATGGCTTATAGTCTCTGCCCTTGACCTTGAGTCTGGTTTAGGACAAATGTTGGTCAACCTATGTATTAACAGTACTGGGTGAGAGGGATCATAATATAGGATGCAAGCAAAATATGTGGGAGTAGAAAGAGGGGAGGTGTTTTCTATTGGTAGGAGCCAGAGAAGGTTTCCAAAGGAGGCAACAGATTGTGGTCTTGCCTCTTCTGCTGACCTTCATCCCCTCTTTACCTTCTTAGCATTTCCACATGGATTCAGGGAATAATGACAATGACAATGGTTAAGATGATGACATCAACTACAGTTTTTGGAAGACTTTGCCAGGCTCTCACGACTCACACAAGCTCTTATCCTACTGACCTAACTGGGGGTGACTGGAGATGCAGAAAGGACAACAGATAGAAGACAGACATGGAGGAAGTTGGGGCCAGGTGTGCCGGGAACTCAGATGGAGACACACAATAGCCTCATTACTTCCTTTCTCCTTCTCTTCTCTTCTTTTACTTTGCTTCTTTTCTCTATTCTTTAAAACTTTACTTCTTGTTCTATTCTTTAAAGCCTTCTTTTCTGTTCTTTAAAGTCTCAGTCCTTAGACTCGCAGACACACGACAGCAGCCACCAGCAGCATCATCAGCGGCAGCTAAACTTGCAAACAGTCAACCAACAATATCCTCCTTCAGCAAGTCTTTTATACACAGTGGCAAAAAAGGAGGTGGAACCACAGTTCTCAGGGAGGGGCATGACATTGTAACAGGAGAAACCTGCGATCACTATTCTCTGAACATAAACATCTTAGGAAAAGCAGCCGTGCTGCATTTAGCCCTTGCTCTCTTCTGCAGCTGGGGCTGTGCCAAACTCAGCCTGCAGATTATTTGACATAGCTATGCTAATGTTAAATTCTCATGGACTCCTCATAATCTGCTCCCCACACCAGGAGATGAGCTAAGGCTTGAATAACAGTCTATTAAAGCCCGGAGAAAGCTTAGAGGCTATTAGTTCAACTTCATTGCTTAACAGGGCAGATGGATGGAGTGGTTGGCCCAAGACCACACAGAGGGAGTTCCTGTCGTAGACAAAGCAAAAGACAGAATTCATTTTTGAAACTGTGGCTCAGTGTGCTTTCCATGAAGCCACCTTTCCCCAGCTACTAGCAAAGGAAATCTCAACATCCATTTTTCTCTGGTTTACAACTCCTAATGAAGACAGATAAAAAATCATGTCATGATGCCAGCTGTTCTACTCTCTCATCACGATGAGAACTGAAAACCATACCACAAAGACTATGTTTCCCACAGCAACAACATTGGAATTAGGGGATGCATTTTTCAACCATGGATGTGAGTCAAATAAACCAGACACAACTAACAATGTGCATAGTAGCAAGGATACAAGGGCATTGGACCCCTCAATAAACATTTAAGATGGTAAATTCTACTCCAAGTCATGTAACATGCATGTAAGTACACCAAACAGGATGATGCACAGGTCACAATAAGAAAGGAACTCAAGCTATACATGGCCCATAAAAATGCGACAGTGAACATTTGATATGTGATGCTTTGATTTGTCGCCATAGATTTCGAAGCACTCTGCTTTGTGGAGGTGACTTATTAGTGGTCTCCTAAAACGTCACCTAAAAACGTATGTACTCAGGTTCTTTCCTCACTCCATTGACCTGAAGCATCACAGTCTACCCACTGACTTGTTTGCTCTCCCCATTGTCCCACAGCGGGCATAATTGTTTCCTTGTCCACTTGAAGAGCTCATTAAACGTAATGACTAACCAGCGTATCTCCTCTCTTCCATTCTACCTCCTGAGTTTATGAAAAGCTGTGAGTGTAGTAACTTAGAATTGTACTAAATAAAAGCCACCCGAAAATATTGTTAAATACCTCTAGTCCACCTTTTAGTCACCCAAGCCTACTTTGTCAGTCCTTTGTCATCATACTCACTGTCTCATCTTTCTGACAATGGGGATGGTACCAACTTTCCTACAGAGTTATTAGTAAGCTTCAATGAAACAATGTACTTAAGATCTCTAAAACAATACCCAACCACCATGCAGCTTGGTGCCCACCCTGTGCTCGGAACAGTTCTAGCTTCTGGGGATACAGCAGTGAGCAAATAAATACTTACTTTCATGGAGAAATCCTAGCAGGGAGAGAAACTGTAAACACAGATGTGCACAGACATTGTCCGCTGGTGGAAATGCTAGGGAGGAAATGAATCAGAACACCGTGATTTGGCCTTGGGTGAGTGAGTTGGAAAGCCTTGGCTGTGTGTGACCAGGGCAAGGATCTGACCTGCCCAGCTACCCACTGCTTGAGAGGAGACCACGGGATGTTCTAGGAACTCCTTGAAAGAAGTTTCCCAGCTTCACTCCTAGCATCGCATGCCAGGCCTGGAAGGATCAGGTCTCTAAAGACATTGACTTTGTGCCAGAAACACTTGGGGCAGCTGGTGAAGCAGGTAGGTGACAGAGATGGGGACTTGGGGTATACCAGAGGCCACAAGGTGGCAACAGCAGAGCATTAAATACACTCAGGAGCACAGGCCTTCTGAGCATCAGGCCCAATGCAGCTGCCCAAGCCATGTGCTGGGGAAGCCAGCCCCAGAGCAGGAAAGCTGCCCGCTGGCTCAGGGAGAAGCCAGTTATGCTAGAGTGAGTTAGGGTCCATGTGCGGCCTTATGATATCAGTGATATACTTTCTAGGCTCCTCAAATTAGCCTAGAACATAAGAGTGTCACCTACAAATTCACAGAGGGAGTATTCAAACAGAAGTAGAATTCTTTGTCTCTCTAAAATCCTCTTTGTTTTTAGTTTAATTTTTAAAATCGTGATAAAATATATGCAATATAACATTTGTCATTTAAATATCCCTAAGTGACAATTTGGTGCTACTATATATATATTAATATGACTATAAGCATTATCCATACTAAAACTTTTTCATTATCTCCCAACAAAAACTCTGTACCTATTAAATAACTTTCCCTTCTCCTTTGTTCTGTCCCTGGGTAACCTCTATAAATCTCTAAATCTTGATAAATCTGCCTTTTCTAACTATGGAGGTAGAATTCTTGTTCTGGCTTCTTTGGGAGGGAGTGGTACTAGGGTTTGAACTCGGGGCCTCATGCTTGCCAGGAAAGTGCTCTACCACTTGAGTCACACCCTCAGCTAGAATTCTTAACTAATATTTATGTGTCTGTGTTTATATGTGTGTGTGTGTATGTATGTTTTTTGTTTTTTGCAGTACTAGGGATTGAACTCAGGGCCTGTGCTTACAAGTGCTCTGCCACTTGAACCATGCCTTCAGCCCTTTTTTGCTTTCGTTATTTTTCAGATGGTTATTTTTCTTGCACTTCTTACCTGGGGCTGGACTTGGACTATGATCCTCCCACCTATACTTCCTGAGTGGCTGGGATTACAGGTGTGAGCCACTGGCCCCCAGCCTTAACTACTATAAATTTTTGTTAACAATTCAAAGCCCAATAACCTATAATAATGGCATTCTCACCTGCATATATAGCAAGTCCCTGGCCGCTCTGCAGTCTATCAGCATGGAATCAAGGGCGGGATCCATGTACCTGCACAATCAGGAGCATTACAAGAGTTCATATGACATGGCTAGTGGCACACCTGGGAGCTAGTGAGTTTGAAAGTAGTGGACCTCTATGCTCTCAGAGCTGGGGGACTGGACATTTCTCCTGCTCAGTTCCCACACTCTTCATTTTCATTCCATTTCTTACCATCCCCACACCTAAGTCTGCATTTTAATCGTGCTCTTTTTTTCCTCTCCTCTGTCTGGAAGACCTCTGCTTTACCACCTTCCCTCTCTGACATCCCTTTGTTACTCAGTGCTCTTCCTCTGGTCCCTGCTCCCCAATGCTGTGTTACTAACCAACCCTCCATGCTTCTTCTGCACCCTGAGTTTGTGCTGATCACTGCTCTGATCAAGCTTGGGTCACACCAGATGTGAAAACTCCAATTCCTTTTCAGACAAGCACCCCTCTGGGTCTCAGCACACTGGCTTGCAAAGCAGGAGTTCCAGGTCTCTCTATCAGATCCAGAATCACCAGGATGAACTGAAATTCATTCCTGTATAAGCACAGCAGATGCTGGGGATGGACAGGAAGGGTCATGAAGGGTGTAATTTGTAACCACAGGATAACTAGACTAATGGGGTTGGCTTAGAGCTACAAAAGGATGAAAATGGGCCTTGAAGGTCAACTTCATTCTGGGGGTGAGAAAAAGACACTAAGCATTCTCACTGACTTTCCACTTGGCTACTTGCCTACACACCTGAGAAGCCCCCATGGTTGCACCAGAGAGCTGGAGAACCCAAGACCCATGCCACATTGGGACTGTGAGAGGGGCTGGGGCTGGTACCCTCTGGTCTGGAAGGAACCATATTGTCATTAGAGAGATGTAGCCAGAGAAGCCATGGATAGAAAAGAATCCTTCAAACTCCCTCTAGGCCTTGCTGAGAGGCCTCATCTACTGGGATCACGCAGCTCTAGGAGCCAGCCTCCCTGCTCCCACCTGGTAAGACCTCTTCTGGAAAGAGGGGGACCTGACCCCTCTTCCAACAGCAGAAGTGAGCCTCCCTTCTTACTGTCCCCTCAGGCAAAGGCAATCTGCCTAGACTAAGAGACTAGCTTGTAGGGGCAAATGTTTTATCTTGCATTTACCATCTAGGATTTACCTATTTTATGAAGACATAGGCAAAGTCTAATTTCTAATTCAAGTGTAAGTCTAATTTCTAATTCAAGTGTAAGGTGAGGAACAGAATCCAGAATCCTTATCTCTCCTTTGATCTTAACTTCTCAGGAAAGTGCATGAGCAAAGAGTCTAAGTTCTGGGGACCTTTTTTTTTTTTTTGTTACTGTAATTATTATCATCAATGCAACAATAACAACTGTGCCTGAGACTTATTGAGTACATGAGATTACATTAACCCTCACAATAATTCTAGAAGGTAGATTCTTCCCTTTTTACAGATAAAGGAACTAGGCCTAAGGAGCTTGAAACAACTTGGCTAAGGTTATGCGGCTAAAACCTGAGAGAACTGGGACTTAGTTTCCTGTACTCTGATCCCAGGAACAATCATGTTCGGCTATGGTCCTTGTAAGCAGCTTCCAGAACAATTACTTGCTAGACTCATAAGTGGAGCCAAGTCCTTTCCCCCTTCTCGGGTTCCATGCCATAAGACTTTCACCATTTCTCAGAATACTTTTGAATAACAGTACTATGAACATCTAGCCTTGCTGAGAATATCCTTTCAAAATTCAAAGCCAGAGAGCGCTTGCAAGGCATCACAAAGCTAATTACCCTTCTTCTCTTTTCTTTTCGCCTGCCTTCCTTCCTTCCTTCCTCCCTCCCTCCCTCCTTCACCTTCCTCACCTCCCTCTCCCTCCTCTCTTTTTTTCCCTTCCCTTCCTTTCTTTTCCTCTTTCTTTTGAGACAGGGTCTCACTTTGTAGCCCAGACTAGACTTGAACTCTCCATCCCCCTGCCTGTGCCTTGTGAGTGCTAGGATTAAAGGTATGTACCATCACACCTAGCTCAAAATGTCCTTAATTCTTCTGTGCTCAGTTAACAGAATAACTGAACTAGGATAGAGAAAATCTAAGTAGCAATCCAGTCCATCCATGGTGATAAATGATGGAAAGTACAGATGATAGGATTGAGGCTGGGCAAGTGTCCTGCTTCTCACTGTAATTTTCTGTTTGTTTTCCATAAAACATGATATCATTTTCTGCAAAGAGACACTTCTATCCTTTTAGTCTAGGAATGCAGGCTGGTACATGTGGCCCTGGAACATAGCCTTTAGGAATGTAAGCCTGAAAGTCAACAGCTTAATTCACTGCAAATTAACCACCCACTTGTTGCCTTCAGGGAATGCCACAGTGCCACAAACGAATCAGATCTGCTTGTAACTATTAACAAAGTTTTCAATTAATACAGTCAGTAATTCATCCCAGTGCATACCCAGGGCCAGAAACTTCTCACTGGCCCACGCCATCACCCATCGTTCTTTCAAGCCACAGCTTCTTGTTTACTTCTCAGTAGAGAAGAATGGAAAGCTAGCATCCTCATTCTAACACTCCCTGGGGATTTACTTGAGCCAGAGAATGTCATTGTTATCACCCTGTACATTTGGGCTAACATTCTGGTTCACTCTGCAATCTCTCTTCCTCATTTCCTTCCTCTTAACCTTGCCCACATTCTTGGTATCTCTCCAGCTGTCAGTCTGTGGGCAGGGTGTGGCGAGGCTGACAAGTTCTGACCAGCAATGGTTTCTGTGGCTATAAATACTCACCACTTTCTGAGTCCAACCATGCAGTTTTCTACTTGCAAACTTTGCAGACTAATGTAAGGGATTTCAAAGTCCGCCAACTTTTTCACCACTAGAGAAGGAGGAAAGGCAGTGTTTGTAGTAGAAACAGCACATGCAGTTTATGTACAGAAGCTATCAAATGAGAAAATGAGCCATTAACATTTGAAAAGTAACCTCTGGCATGCGTGTGTGAATTTTAACTTTCTGAAGTTCATCAAAAGATCAGTGTGACTGGCCCAAACAATGTATACATGTGTGAGTAAATGTAAAAACCATAAAATGAGAAAAAAGATCAATATGATTTGCTTCTCATCAAATCCCAGCCCTTTGAGTAGGAAGTTGCACCCTGTGATAACAGATGAAGAAATAAGTCAGTGCAGAAATGCCCAGCACCACGGCCAGTGTACCCTAGCTCCCAAGGCCCAGTCTACACCCAAACCCTTTGGTTTCCACCTCAAAACCACCTGAAGACACAAGCTATTTTAATATAACTGACACCATTTCACAGCTAAAAATCAGACAGTATCTACAGTGCAATGGAGAGAAAAGCAAGGGCCAGGGGATTCAGAGTGTCACATTATACTATCTCATTAGACCTTTTAAAAAACAATCTAAAAGCTTTTATTCCATCCACATTTTATTGCAAATATTCCCTAACAAAGAGACACGTTGTGGTGCTTGGATGTCCTGGTACCTGGAATCTGGCACTCCATCCACCAGAAGGATGTGTGGCATGGCCCATGGTCAGTGACCAGGCCAGGCCAGGGGTAAAGGTGAGAGGACACCAGGATCTGGACCAGGGTAGGCATAAGAGGAAGCACAGTCCTAGACTGACCTGAGGTCTTGCTCTTGATCTTGCTACCTCTGCAGCTGCTTGTCCCAGCTCACTCTGAGAAGGACACAACATCCCATTCACAACCCTTGATCCAGAACTAAGAATAGTAGTAGGGACCAAAACCCTGGAGGTGCCCAGCCCCATAGCAGTGCATCTCCTCACCCCCAACATCTTCTGGGCCAAGCCCTGCTTACACCTGCCTTCCCCATTTCTTGGCTACCTTCTTTTCTTCTTACCAGAGAGCTTGCCCTTCTTGCAGAGCCGAATGAGAAAGAGGCCAAAGTAGCTCAAGAGCTCCTGACACAGTCCAAGTGTGTGTGACACCACCTTTAATCAGAAACAAGAAGAGGGAATGTTAGGATGACAACCTTGCTTCCCAACTGTGACGTGAACTAGAAATGACCTGTACATATCAGTAAATAGCAAGTGCTTTCACAAGCTAGAAGGCAGTCAAAGAAATCTTTTTGGAATCTAAAAATAGAACATACTCATTCTAGAAACCTTAGAAATATACAAAATCATAAAAGCCAAGGACAGAGACTGGCCTCCACTGAGGCTACCTGTTCATCTCAGATGTGGACACATGTCCTGGATCATTTCGGTACCTATGGTCTCCTGGAGGGCAGCAAACATCTGTCCTTCTGTGGCATCTGTCCCTAGGGCTTGCAAGCTAGCTTCCTTTCCTGGGTGCTGGATTATCAGAAATGATCCTCAGAAAAGGACCATTGTCCACCACTCAGTGGGCGTATAACAGTGCACGTGTTACCATTTGCCTTTGACACCAGGCTGACTTTTCTTTGATGCTTCTTGTGATGGTCAAGTATAATTTACTTTTACATTTGTTTGGTGAAAACTTCCAGTTCCAGGCCCAGGCTGCCTTCATTTCCTGTTCCACTTTGACATCAATGGGCTTTCATTTCAACATCAATGGTTTCATCTTTACCACAGGGTCCCAGGCTGTGACTCAGAATTCTGTATCTCCATCCACCTTTGTTAGCAGTGACTTCCACAATACTGCAGGCCATTTCCCTTCACCCCTTTAACACTGAACTCTGGAGTGATTTCTCTACACTCCTGGTCATTTTCTTTTAATTGACACCTAAACATGATCCATATTTATGGGGCATCAAGTGACGCTTCCATTATACACTTCCATTGTACACTGGGTAATGTTCAGGGTAACTACCTCTATTTTCTCAAACTCTTTTGTGGTGAAAACACTTAACATCCTTTCTTCCAGCTTTTTTGAAATATACAGAACATACATTCTCATTACCTATAGCCAGCTCATTGTGCAATGGAGCAGAATTTATTTCCTCCTGTCACTGTAACTGGCACCCATGTGCACACAGTCTTCACCTCCTGGATGCCCTCCACAGCACTGGAGGGTTCACTCCACAGGTGTGCACTCATGCTTTAACCAGGACAAATACCAGCGTTACCTAACAGAGATCTATAAATGACCTTATGGGACAATCTGGTTAGGCAGTTAGTATGAGTGTTCTCAGCATTCCTTTGAAAATAAACAATAGCCTCAGAACAACTAGCTTCACATTGACTCACTATGCATTCCTTTCCCCTTTTTTCTCTCTCTTTTTTTCCCCATGCCACTGTGATACATCCAAAACCAAAATGCAGGGCTCTTTCATGTGTAGGGCGAGTTGTACTAAGAAATAGCATTGCTATCTTTTCCTAGAGTAAATGTGATCCATGTCCACTCAGATTAGAGTTCTCTCTTTTCTGGCACATGTAAGTGAGAAAAACCACAAGTTTCCATGCTAAGGTAGATGGAGGAATGGAGACAAAAGGAGATCGAAGAAGCCATTTTTAATTGCTATAGTTTGGATCTGGAATGTTCTCCCCAAATCCCATGTTAGAGGTGTGGTTCCCAGCTCAGCACCTTTGGCAGATGGTGGAATCTTTAAGAGGTAGGGTCTAGTGGGAGGTCTTCAGGTCACTGGAGGTGTGCCCTTGAAGAAGATTCTGAATCTCTCTCTCTCTCTCTCTCTTTCTCTCTCTCTCTCTCCCTTTTTACCTCTCTCTTTCTGGATTAGAAATAAAAGCCTCCAAAGGAAAAATGTCTGAGAGGTGAGCCTCAGGAGCACACATCAGGATGAGGAGACAGCATGCCCTCTGCAGCCCAGCTGAGCAGAGCTGGTGATAGCCACGTTTGAAGAAGGGAGAATGCTTTCTGGGGATCATCCTTATCATCCTCAAAATGACTCAAATTCAGATCTGGTTCTCTGTGCCTAGAATTAGACATAATAGGGCATTGATTTCAGCTATTTCCCATGTAAGGGAAGAGAAGCTGTCAAGAAATCCCCCAACACCTTCTCCCAGGATCTGTCACCACCCACCTGGGTATGGCCTGTTCTAGACTCAGCCAGTCACCACCCTCATTCCTGCTCCCAACTATGGAGCATCTGTAACAAAGTGTTCTAGATATTTCCAGGCCACGTCCTGGCAAAGTTCTAGGGAGGTGACAGCAGGCTTTGGAAGACCCTCAGTAGTCTCAGTAAAACTGATGCCATAGGGAAGGTAGGATCAAAGAGGCCTGAATTATGGGCTATAGCTCAGGTTCCTTGGTCTCCCAGGAAATTGTGGCACCTCCTGCAGATAAGTCACCCTCAGAGTGAAGCAATAAGCAGGAAACTTTCAAAAGGTCACTATCTCCCAGTCTCTGCTCTTCAAGCAGATTTTTTCTAAATTCAGCTCTGGAGCTGGAGCTCAAGCAAAATTTACCTCTAGAACTCTTTCAGCAGTATCCGATGTGAGGATTTCCACTTTCATGCTCCTTCCATCAGGCAGAAGTACATCCAGAGATGCTTTCTTGGCCATGATGTTAAATGTGTCCTGAAAGCAAAGGAAAGCAGAGTGCCTGTGTCCACAACCCAGCGGAGGAGCGACCAGTAGCTCCTTTCCCTGGTGCTCAGCGGGCAGAGGGCACCTGAAGTGCATAAGAGCCCAGCACAGAGATTTTTTTTTTTTAGGGGGTGGTCTTCGGGAAGGGAGAGTGGGGGTGAAAATTCATGTGGGGGTCCAAGGCAGAGCAGTGACACAAAGCATGAACAATTCCCAAACCTCAGAACATCCATTGTGGAGGAAAAGTCTTTTGATAAAGGCATCTACATGCTTGGTAGTCTCAGAATTAACTCAGTCTAGTAGCAACCAATTCTCCAATCCTTGGCCACCAGAAGGTGGTCCAACAATTTAATTCAGTTCTAATATGATTTTCCTGGTTGCTAGCATCAGATCACACAAGTTAAAGTGTTCAGTTCCATGAACCTGCCCCACTTCAGACTCCAGCTATAAATGGGGTACCCAGTCTACCCACATTTCTTTCCAGTTGACTGCAAATTCAGGGGGTCCTAGGACTCCCTCTCAGGCTCTGGAATTTGCTAGAATGACTCAAAGAACTCAGGAAAACTGTTTGGTATTATTCACTTATTATAAAGGATACAACTTGGCAACAGCCAAATGGAAGAGACGCACAGGGCCACGGTGGGGATGTGTTCAAGCCCTCTCTAAGTGAACCGCCCTCCAGCCCCTCCCGTCTTCACCTCCCTGGGAGCCTTCCACACCTCCTGGATTCAGGAGTTTTGTGGAGGTTTGTGCAAACCTGGACAGGTAACTACCCCTCTCTATATACCTCATTCCTTCAGCCCTAAAATGGTAACAGTGCCCATTTCAGAGGTTGTACTGAGGATTCAGGAGGTGACACATGAGGAATGTAGGGCAGAACTCACCATCAGGTGGCAGGAGGAAGGAGGAGGCTGCTGCACAGTTTCACTTTGACTCAGTCACAACGGGACGAGATAAAGGAGCCAAGAAAGCTTCAGGAAGGTGTTTTCAACACTCATCTGCAATCGGGGTCTGAGTCCTGCATATTCCACATCTAAGCTATCTCCTGGGTCCATCTACTTCCCTCCAGCTCCTTAGACCCACCTAGTACCTCCCCAGCCCTGGACTCCTGCAGTGGCCTCCTATCAGGTCTCCTCTTTCATCTGCCCCTCACAAAGCATTCTATACCAGCAGCCAGAGAAATATTTTAAATGCAAACCTAAAAATGTCTCTCTGGATTAAAACCCTCCATTGTCCTCACATTGCTCACGGGACACCCAACTCTTGGTCATTGGTCAGGATGAGGCAGGTGGATTGGAACTGCCCCTCACTCTTTCCTCCTCTCTAGCACTTCCTACAGATGGCCAGTCAAGAGTAGCAGGGAGGGCAAGTACACTCCTGCAGCTGGGTCACCAATCCTGAAGCAGGTGGCCTTTCTTACCACGGTATGGACAGAGGCTCTTGGAGACTGACATCAACACACAGAAAAGCAGCAGGTAGGGAAAAAGAGGGAGCCAGCCAAACCTCCAACACTTTTCAGTTAAATAAATACATTTCCTTTTTATGACTGAAAAAGGCCTGAGGCTTGGGGGGCGGGGTAGCCAAGTTTTAGAGCATGTGTTTAGCCTGTACTAAGCCTCAGGTTCAATTCCAACAGCAGTAGCAACAAAATAGGAGAGTAATGGAGGTAGCTGAACTCTACCTTACCCACTATGCTAAATGCTCTTGGATTTTTTTTTTTTTTTGGTGGTGCTAGGGTTTGAACTCAGGACCTTGTGATTGCTCTATCACTTGAGTCACACCTCCATCTCTTTTTGCTTTAGTTTGTTTTTCAGGTAGAGTCTCATGCTTTTGCCTGGTATGTCCTCAGATGGTGATCCCCCTACCTCTGCCTTCTGCATAGCTGAGAGTACAGATATGAACCACCATGCCCAGCTTGTTTGTTGAGATGGGATCTCACTAACTTTTTGGCCCAGGCTGGTCTTGAACTGAGATCCTCCCATCTCTGCCTTCTAATTATCTGGGATTATAGGCATGAGTCATCACATCCAGTTCCTCCTGGCTTTTTTTTTATATATTTAATTTGTTTAAAACTCAGATTACTGATTAGAATGTAAACGCCTTCAGATGAGGATTATGTGGTGAGCTTATTTTGAACAGTGCCCTGTATAAATAGACATCTGAATAATTTTGGTGCTATCTTTTTCAAATAATCCAAGTGAGAGAATAGCAAGAACTAGAATAGTAATGGAGCTTGGAAATGGACTGTTTATGAACAAAATGCCTCTCTAGCCCCATCCTGCATGTGCTTATTCTACAGATGTGTTTGAGGAGATCCTGAAGGTTAAAGCCCCAATGTCTGTCGTGACATTGCTACACTGAGTTGGTCTGATGTCACCTCCCCTCAGTGGAGAATCTCCATGTCAAGACAGCTCTTCACTATTTGTCAGAGGAGCGGCTTGGTTGGCACCTGCACCCCTTACTTTCTTTCCTCCTTCTCTCAAGCACATTTTCAGGTTTCCTCACCAAAAGGAATTCTGACTCACGTTATTTCAACTTTTGACACTGTACTCCATCCTCACCCACTTCCTTCCTCATCCTTTCCAGGTAACCTCACCACCACTTGTGGTCCAACCTTTGGGTTACACTTGTAGCCTACCACTCTTTGTCTTTGTCTTACATTAAATTTAAGAGGCATTCTTCTGCCTCTTGATTCCAGACAGCGTTCCATCCTCTTTCCTCAAGGACTTGGAACAACTGATTCTCTAGGCCTTCCTGCTGACTCCCCTCTCCCACTCTCTTTCCCATTGCCAAGAAAACTTTCTTAACAATAGAAAAACAGAGGCTCTGGGTAGATCATCCCCAAGAAAAAGGATCTGATCTGTTTGACCACGGGGAAATTCTGTATTTAGTACTCTTGTATGCATGGAAAGAGTTAGTTGTAGGCATAAGAACAATCAAACATATTTTTCACTTTTAAATGATGCAGTTTTGAGCTGGTGGCTCATGCCTATAATCCTAGCTACTCAGGAGGCAGAGATCAGGAGGATCATGGTTCGAAGACAGCCTGGGCAAATAGTTTGCAAGCCCCTATCTCAAAAATACCCAACACACAAAAGGGCTAGTGGAGTGGCTCAAGGTGAAGGCCCTGAGTTCAAACCCCAGTATACCAGGAAAAGAAAAGTCTTGATGTGATGAAAGAAAACACAGGTTTGAAATGATGGTTGAAAAGGAATTTGGCTTTATTTGTGACATGTAAATTCTACTTGAATGCTTTTGTATATGGTTTATAGAATTAATAAAATATAAAAGCTATACAAAAACACAAGTAGAAGAGAAAATTCAACCTGGCAGAGTTGGATTGTATAAAAAATAAAATGTGAAATAAGCAGCTGTCTTGATCTAGAGTAGATCAGGAGTAAAAAGTGCAATTGATGCTAGCAAATTGAGAAGAATGCATTTATTTTTAAGAAACCTCAAAATCCTCCAGACCTATGGGCCACTTTGACACGTTATAAAACATATGCTAACTCCTCTCAAATCAACTTTAACAGCCTGAGAAATCTTCGAATTCCTCCAGGAGCTCAGCTGGCTTTGCTGATGTTCTGCTCTGAAGCAAGGAGTAGATGACTGCCACCAGCTTAATCCTGAAGTGTCTTGCCTGAGGAAAGCCATAAGTGGACTCAACAAGCTCCAAATTTTACCATACTTAATGGTACACCCTTCTCATTTCTCCTTAAGGGAAATGAGGAACATTCTTAAGAGCAAATGGGGAAACCAAACACTGGTGACTCATGCCTGTAATCCTAGCTACTTGGAGGCTGAGATTGGAAGGATCAAAGGTACAGGCCAGCCCAGGCAAACAGTTCTGGAGACGCCATCCCCAAACCAACCAGAGTGAAATGGACTGGAGGTGTGGCTCAACATGTAGAGTGCCTGCTTTGCAAGCATGAAGTCCTAAGTTCAAAAAATAAATAGATAAACAAAGAGAAAATAGTTACTTCCCAGAGCTCCCAAACATAGACATGAAGGGAAAAACTTCTGAAATGAATAAGTTGCCCCTAACTCCCCAGGGGCCCAGAAGCCACTCCAAATGGCTTCCCAGTCTCCTTGTTCTCAAACATTTAGCTCCACACTCCAGTTTCTGAAGCAGGAACATAAAAAAGTCTTCAGTAGACTACTTTTGCCTTTTAAAAGTTCCTTTACCTTTCCAGTGAATACAAGGCAGAATCTGGAGCATAGTAAGTTGGGGAGGGGAATTTAGATACCTAAAATAAAGGGGACACACAGGGGCCAGGGTGGATGGCCCTCCCCTCTTGCAATACTTCATGACATGTGTGCTGCAGAGGCTTTGGCTCCAGCCTTTGTGGATCTGGACCTCAGAACTTGTGCTTATTAGAAGCGTGTCCTGAACTTGTTTAACCTGAAACAATAACACCTCCCTCAACAATTCAGGAGAAATGCCAAGAAGCACTGGGCCTAAGACAGATGAAATATCCCTTTAGAGGGCAAAATCCCTTTCACTTGTGCAGCTGGGCTTTGGCCATCCTTGGTGGAGGTTTTCCTGGAAGATCGCTTGATGATTATGTTTTTAATATAGTGTGTCCTTGCCCTGAGGCGGGAAGATGCTCTACTGAGCCCCTGAGGGGGATGGTCTGGAACATGTGATTATTTAGCACTGGAAAGCTGTAGCCACTTCACTTATCAGATGCAGTGAAAACTTCCAGGTGGGAAAATGGCCTAACCCCTGCTTCTTGGGCTTCATTATGGTCTGGCAGACCCACAATCACTGCTCATTCTGGTCCTCTACCTCCTGCCGGCCCTGCAGGAGCAATCTTACTTACAGGCCAGTGACCACTTCTCTCCTGCATCAACTGCCATTCCATCCCTCTGCTCTGGTGGAGGTTGGGGTCTTCAGGCAGTGGGAGAGGAGAGGAAACCCACCCTCCACAGTACATAGCAACCGCTTCCCTTTCACAACATTGGTCCTGAGTCTCCCACACCTCCAGATACCATGGTTGCTGCTTTATTCCTCTCTCGATGTACAAATAGCTACAGTTGATATCATCTTCCTTCCTGCCCATCCCAGAAACTTCAGAGACCAGCTTAGGCATCACCTCCTTTAAAACGTCATTTTCTCACCATGTCTCGCAGGCACACATGCACCCTGTGCCCACCCTCTTCTCACCAGGTCACACATAGAAAATAACAATATTTGTACTGTACCCTAAGATAAGTGAGCACAAGCCTGCAGGAGGGGGCAGGCCCATAAATGCTGTGCCAGGGCTGATGGAAATCTTGACACACATCTAACCCTGTCCTGGAGTATGGTCTTGTGACAGCATGCTCCATAGTTCATAGTTCATCCTACAGCACAGAGCTCACCACTTTACTGTGTGCCCAGTGACTTTCTATCACCCCAAGGCAGCAAACTCCATGAACTGGCCTGGGCATCATTTATAGTGTCTCTCCGTCTCTAGATTAGTGTTGGCTCAGAGTAACCATTTAGTACATATTTGTTGAATGCAGAATAAAATTTATGACAGGATATAAAGCAGGGTGGGGGAACAACTACCATAGCACAACCTTCCTGATTTAAAATTAATTTCCTTTTCAGAATTGTAATGCAAATCTCCTTTCTAGACACCTCCAGGAGTAAAGCCACCTCTGTCCAGCTCTCCTTTGGGAGGCAAAGAGAACACTGGGAAAGGAAACCATCCTTGAAGAAACTTGAAAATAGTCCTGATCTTGAACCCTTGGGTACTTAAGAGGGGCAGCCAAATACAGCCAAACCAGACCTGGCCAGGGAGGGGATGCAGAGGAATATAGCAATAATATGTATCCTGTCTTGTGTGTGTGTGGTACTAGGGATCGAACTCAGGACTTTGTGCTTGCTAGGCAGGCATTTTAACACTTGAACCATGCCCCCAGCTCTTTTTATTTTTTAGTTTGTTTTTCAGACAAGGTCTCACACTTTTGCCTGGGCTGGATTCAAACTGCAATTCCCCCTACTTCTGCCTCCTGAGTAGCTGAGATTGCAGATGTGTGTGATGATGCCTAGTCTGATAAACTGACTTACAGCCGTCAATCACACAGGGCTCAGCAGGCTGGGAGCACATTTGATACCACCAGGTTCAGGGGAGGCTGAAGAGATGTTCAGGCATTCCATCTTTGCTGAAGGTCATCTCTCAGCAGGGTTGGGAAGAGGTAAAGGGACCGGCAGTAGCCGTGACAGTGACTAGTTCCTAAAATGTTACCATTGTGTCAGATGACATTTAAGTGTTGGAAGGGACTTAGTTCATTTTGTCCTCAAATCAAAGACAGGAGCTCTTCTCCCCATTTTATAGCTGGGGAAACTGGGATACAAAGAGGTTAAATAAACTGTCCTATGCCATGTAACTCCAAAGTAGGATGGTCAAAATTTGGACCTGGGCCTTCTCACTCCTGAGCCTCAACTCCTAACGACTAAGCTAATTCTGGGACTGCAGATCTGAGTGAACAGAAACATCGAAAATGCTAGATCATGACACTAGGAGCTGTAGTTTATGCTTCACTGCTAAACAGCCTGTGTGAGCTCAGAAATAAGAGGTAAGATCCAGAAACACAAGACTCAGACTCAAGCGATTCAACTCAAGCCCCTCCCCACCAGTATGTGTTAGCAAACTGCTAGCTCAGAAAAAACAGCCCCTTCCAAGGGTGAGTGATGACCTGAAAAGAACTGGCAAGGGATCTGTGTCAAAGTCCTGCAAGAGAGCAGGGAAGGAACACGACCAACTAGAGGCAAAAAATATACATCTGCAAAATGATACCACTAAGCAGATATGTATTCATAAAATCACAGTGTTTCTGAACAAAGATCTTAAAGAACAGAAAAAGACCTTGGTGCAGAAGAAAACTAAAGGATATAAAAGTGACCTGGCCAGATTCATGGAAAAATGGAAGAGAAAAATAAAGCCATTGCAAAAGTGAAAATTGCATCAGAAGCAAAAGAGACATGCAGAACACAACTGGAGGCATAAGACCTTGGTATAAAGTTAAAAAGGCAAAATATTAAGAGAACTAAAGTCAGGCAAAACCCCGAAAGAAGATACACAAAACAAAGCCTATAACATCGATACCCCATGAATGGTTTCTATAAAGCTTTGAAAGCAAAATCCATCATGTATCCCCCAAAGAACTAAAGTCAAACTAATCTCAATATGTCTCGATATAGAATTATCAGTGAGATTCAAGTTTTAAAAAGCACGGTTCAAGAGCTGTATCTAAAACCAGGCACAGTATTGCAAACCTGTAATCCCAGCTACCTGGGAGGCAGAGATCAGGAAGATCACAGTTTCAGGTTAGCCAGACAAAAAGGTTTGCTTGCAAGACCCCATCTCAACCAATGCCTGGGTATGGTGACACAGGTCATCATCCTGCCTACACAGGAAGCACAAAGATTGCAGTCCAGACCAGCCTGGGCAAAAAGTGAGACTCTATCTCAAAAACTAACCAATGTAAAAAGGGCTGGCCGAGTGGCTCAAGTGATAAAGCAACTGCCTAGCAAACATGAGGCTCTGAGTTCAATCCCCAATACTGACAAAAAAAAATTTGTCTAATATGTGCTTATTTGTAAAATAAAACGGGTATGCATACACATGTGTGCATGTAAGTATATGCTTGAATATGCACAGAAATGTGTAGAAAAAACATACATTGAAACTGTAAAGAACATTGTCTCCAGGAAGAAGACTGTGGGGAGGCTACTTTCCATTGTGTATGCTCCAGTGCTGTTTGAAGTTTACTATCAACACCACCACCACTACTTGGAAGAAAGGAAGGAAGGAAGGAAGGAAGAAAATTGTCTATTTAAACAATCAAGAGTATATAAAAATAAAACCACTACACAATGGAAGGTTCTAGGGCCATTTCTGTGGTTGAGTGGGACGCACTTGAACCCTCCTTAAATGAAACCTGCTCTAGTCTATAGATCTGATCAAGATCATCTCCTCCTTAGGGGTCTAGTTCGGTAGTACATCCTTGTTCAACTTCAATCTTTTCAAAGCTTCTCCATCCAGTCAAACTTGTGCATAAAAGTGTTTCTGCTTCACAGTTAGAATGGGTACAAGTATACATAGCAAAGTTTCAGCCTAAACAAGTGGCCCGTGGTTCTTTACACCCTCCAAGGAAAGAGAAATGCCATATGTCACTATGTTCAGGGTGAATTTCTCCATTTACAATGAAGTTAGGAGTGGAGAACACACAGTGACAGTTGGTAAGGCCACTGTCCTCCTCTCTGCACTATGGCACTCTGGAAAACCCCAGTGAGTACACTCAGGTCACGGCCATGGGATGGGATCCCTGAGTGATTAAGCCGCAGTTCTCTCTCTGTGGCTCTCCTGGGCTAGTCTGGAGATGAGTGATACTTAAGCTACAGAAAAGGGTGTCTGACTTTTAAAAATGAGCCAAAGGTCAACTGGCATATTTCATTTTCCATCTAGAATAGGAACGATCCTCCAATTTACTCATGATAAATACATTTTACCCAAGTCCAGGACCTGTAGGGCTGATGACTGACACACACATAAGTGTACACACCCCATAGGTAACAAAGAGACACGTTCTGCAGAGAAATAACGACTTCAGAGGAAAACGGTAAGCTTACCAGCTGTACCAGTTTCAAAAACTCAGTGAAGACATCACTTCTCAACACATGTGGGTCCGCGGTTACTGAAAAACATGGACAGCAAGCCAGGTTAGCACAAACTTATCTATTAATTGCTTTGTCCTCCAGAGGCCCTCTGAGTCTCACCAGCACCCTGTGGCCTTCCTGAAGGTGAGGAAGGTTTCTCAATAGTGGGAAAATCCACAAAGCTTACAGCTTTCACAGCCTTGACTACGTGACCCAATCCAGGGCGACAGTGTTCGCAGGAACCTCATGTCATCCATGCACACCCATATTGCTCAATATCCAACCTTTTGGTGGTGGTAGTTGTGGTGGAGGTGGAGGGTAGTCTTGGGAACATGAAAAACTTTTTGTAAAAGTCATTCCCAGTCAGGTGTGGTGATGCACGCCTGAGATGGTCCCAGCACAGAGGAGGCTGAGGCAAGAGGATCTCTTTTCTTTTTTTTCCTTTCCTTTTCTTTTCTTTTTCCTTCTTTCCTTCCTTTCTTTGGTGGAACTGGGGTTTGAACTCAGGGCCTTGTACTTGCAAGGCAGGCACTCTACAACTTAATCCATGCTGCCTCCAGTACTTATGATTGGTGTCCTTTTTTCTTTCCTTTTTTTTTTTTTTTTTCAGTTCTGGGGTTTGAACCCAGGTCGGGATAGGCAAGCAATCTACCACTAAGCTACAGCCCCAGCCCAAGGATCTTGAGTTTCAGGCCAGCCTGAGTAATATTGAGACCCTGTCTCAAACAAACAAACAAAACAATGAAACGAAACAACAAGAGGGTAGTTTTGAGTATTGGGGGGTGTGGGGGAAGGGGTCCTTGCCTAATTTTCTGGAATAGATGTGGTATAAAGGCAAACTAAATTTATATTCCTTAGCATGGATTCTTAGAGATGGGGAAAACTGTTGAAACAAGGACTCAGTGTACAATGCTACTTAGGGTAGGACTACTGAGTACCAGGCACTGAAATAAGCACTTTGTGTATTTTAGCTCATTTAATCTTCATGACAAACCCTGAAGCAACTATTATCTACATTTTACAGATAAAAGACACTGAGAGTCACAGGAGGTAATGCCCAAAGTCACACAGCCAGTGAGGAGCAAAGGTGGGATTTGACCATGGATCTGGAGTCCAAGCTCTTAGTCATGACACCATGCTGCACTGTGTCCTCACTTGACCTTGTCAAAGAGGAAATCCAAGACATCTGATATGTGGATAAAGATACGGATAAAGAACAGGCCAGGAACAATGATCCCTTAAGCCCTGTGGTCATCTGTAGAAAGGCAGGTATTAAAGGTGTGTCTTGCTAAGACATGAGAAAATAAACCAAGGAAGAATGAAAATGCAAACGTTACATCTTGAACTTGAAAGGGCTTATTCGACAGGTCTAACAAGATATATAGGTTCTATTACAAAAAAATGAATGGGAAGTAGGTGACTTCTGGGATGTTTACTATAGGCAGTCATGAAAAACAAGATAAATTTATAATTGGCAATGCAGAACAATCTCTAAGATACATATTTTTAAAGGAAAAAGTCAACATACAGAAAAAAACTTTTCTTTAGCTAAGGACATTAATAGAATAATTGGTTTAAGTAAATTTAAATAAGGTCTCTAGATAATGTAAGAATGTTGATTTCCTGATTTTGATAACTATACTGTGGTTATATAAAAGTGACCTTGATCTTAAGAAAGACATAGGAAATATTTAAGGATAAAGTGACTTACTTACGTGTGTGCAACACTTAAGCATTTCAAAAAAATATATATCTATATACATACTGTCATAATATACACATATACGCATGGAAGGAGGACGATAAGCCAAATATAAAATGTTGACAACTGGGAAATCTTAGTGAAGAATATACAGAAATTCTTTGCATTATTTTTTGTACTTTTTCTGTAAATCAGAATTTCAGAATAAAAATTTTTAAAAAACAGGTACAGAAAAGTGTATATAGTAAACCTCAATTTGTGTTGCAAACAAAAGGATATACATACACTGTAAACTACACAGAGATCACTTTTAGGGAACAGGCAAGCCACTGGCTACTGTGCTTACTTCTAGAGATAGGAGGGTGGGAGTCAAGGTGAGAAGAAGCCTTACCTTTCATTATATACTCTTTTGCGTGGTTTATTTTTCAAGAATGTTGCATGTGTAGACTGATTTTGAATTTTTAAAACTTGAACTACTTCAATACCAGTTTGGCTCTTTCCCCTCACCCCCTCTTCTGTCAACCAGTCTTGCTGTGTGGAACATCCTCAGGACATGGGGGACAGTTGAGACTGTGGCCAGGGCCACCTCAGAGCATCCTCGGTGCCTCCCCACAGACTCTGGTAATGACCCAGGTGGAGGTGCCATCTCCAGCATGGTTAAACCCCAACCCTTTGTTCTGTCCTAATGCAGATAACATTGCTTTCACTCCTACAACCAAAGCCAAATACAATACCCAGGGGTGAATCTTAACAAACTCTATGCAAAAAACATGTATTCTTTCGTGCCACACATATGAAATGTCCAGAACAAGCAAATCTATTGGTAGAAAGTGGAAAAGTGGTTGCCAGGGTCTGGTGGAGCAGGGACTGACTGCATGAGCACAGGGTTCCCTTCTGGAGTGATGAGAACATTCTAAAATTAGAATATGGTGATGGTTGCACAATTACATAAACATGTCAAAAACTATTGAACTGTGTACTTTAAATGGGTGAATTTTGGGATGCGAAACTTGCATCTCAATAAATCTGTTTTTTAAAAAATTGCAGTACATACCATTTTGCAAGTATTGTTCCAACTGGTCCCTCCTCTTGTCAGCCATAGACGTGGTCATTGCCAGATAGTACTTTGGTGGAAAGGGTGGCAGGCAGTTTCCAAAGACCCGCCTCAGCTGAAAGATCCAGAACACACAGAGTTAGGCGACTGGGCCTCCAATTCAAAAGCTGACGAGATGCTAAAGCCTCCTCTTTAGCAAATCCCAGTATTTTACTATAAATTAACATTCCTTCACAGGAAAAAGGAGGAAAAGAAGATAGTTTGATTTCTTAAGGAAGAACATATTTAAGCATATGTCCTAAAGATGCTATTAGATATGTCACACACTGATAACTTCAGCCTAACTTTGATAGAGTTATGATATATTTTGATTTTTCATTTGTTTGCAAGACCACTCACCACTCACGTTATACAACATTTCCTTAATTCACTCCATACTAATATCTGATACCAATGATTATAGTTAAGAATATAAGTCTTCAGCCCCCCCCTCCACCAATTCTGAACTCAACAAATGTTTACAATCGCACTGCCTAATATTATAGCTACTTGCCACTTGTCACTTGAAATGTGACAAGTCTGAATTTGTGTGTGCTATAATGTCAAAATACACTCCAGATTTCAAAGACTTAGCTCAAAGAAAAAAGAATGCAGGCTGGACGCAGTGGCTCAAGCCTCTTGGAGGCAGAGATCAGGAGGATTGTGGTTTAAGGACTGCATAGGCAAAAAGTTGAGGAACCTTATCTCAACCAATAATACGTCAGGCATGGGAGTGTACGTCTGTCATCTCAGCTATGCATAAATGGGAGGGTCTCGGTCCAGGCTAGTGTGAGCATAAAGTGCAATACTATCTCAAAAATAACCAGTGCAAAATGAAAGGTTGGCAGCATGGCTTAAGCAGTAGAGCACCTGCCGAGCAAGCGTGAGGCCCTGAGTTCAAACCCCAGTACTGCTAAAAACAAAGAGAATACAAACTATTTCACCGACAATTTTTATATTAACTGCATATTGAAACAATAACTTTCTTGATAAATTAAATACATTGCTAAAGACTTAATTCCACCTGGTTCTTTTTATTTATTTATTTTTAGTAATGGAGATTGAATTTATGGCTTCGTGTTTGTTAGACAAGCGCTCCGCCACTGTGTAATACCCCAAGTCCTTTTGCTTTTAGTCTTTTTTTTTTCTTCAGGTAGTCTCTTGGTTTTGCCTGGGCAGGCCTTAGACCTTGATCTTCCTACCTCTGCCTCCCAGTAGGTGGGATTACAGGCATGAACTACCATGCCCAGCTTTTTTTTGAGACAAGGTCTCATGCTACCTTTGCCCAGGCTGGCCTCAAACCATAATTCTCCTATCTCTGCCTCCCGAGTAAGCTGAGTGTTTTTATCTTTTTAATGTGAATACTAGAAAATTTAAATTATATTCATGGCTCATTTTCTATTTCTATTAGACAGGGATAGGTAGAGAATTCCTTTTCAGCTGACACATAATCTTAAATAAAAACCCGGTCAGGGGCTGGCAGAGTGGCTCAAGTGATAAGGCATCTGCCTAGCAAGTGTGATCCTTTGAGTTCAAACCCCAGTGCTGCTATAAAGCAAAAACAAAAACAGAAAATCCCATCAGGCCTTTCTCTTCTATCCATCCATGTATGATCCAAGACCAGAATGGTAATTATGTTTAGGGAAGTTGCATAAAATATAATTTTAAAATTAAGAAAAAAAGTGTATTTTCTCTTTCCCAGTCCTATACTTTCCTGGCAGCTTGAAGGGAAGTCTGCATCAATCTCCTTAAAACAAGACAAATGAACCTATCAGAATCCCAGTAAGGTTTTAACATGGCACGTTGGAGCAGAAGGACTGAAACCTTACTATTACTATAATCTCTGGCTTAAAGAAAACGAAACCAGATCTGAAAGAAACAAAGCTGTAAACAGACGTAATTTAGATTCAATTTTAATTTCCTTTGTCACAATTATAGTATGTACCGGACAGATTGTTTACTTTGCATAGTTCCTAACTTCAAAATACACAGAGGAATGTGACTGCTTCTCTCCACCCTATTCATTATGCTGGTCCAAGCACTGGGATCTGCTTTCTAGATTACTGAAGTAGTTTCTGCCCTTGGCCTCCCTCAGTCTATTCCTACCATAGCATCTAAGGTGATCCTTTAAAAATATAAGTTAGATCACTGTACTGTCCTATACAAAATCCTTTGTGGCTCCCCATTTCACTCAAGTAAAAGCCAAAAGCATTCCAATGGTCTAGAATGCTGCCATTCAATATGGTGGCCATGAGCCACTTGTGATTAAATTGCTTAAAATGAGATAAGATTTTAAAACTCAGGTCCTCAGTTACCCTAGCCACATTTCAAGTGCTCAGTAGCCATCAAAACGCAGCAAGCTACTGTTGAATCGGACAAAGCAGATCCAGAATATTTCCATCAGCACGGAAATTTCTATTGGACGAGAATTGGTCTAACACCTACAAAGGTTATTAACTCTTTGTCTGTAGGCAAAATACAGCTCCTGATGCATATTGTTTAGTTGTTGTTCAGTTTTTAGAGAGAATTTTGATGCCAACATTTATTTTTGTGATTATTTAAAAATGTGTATCCTGGAGAGAATATAACATATTATAGCCACTTTGGAAGACAGTTTGGCAGTTTCTTACAAAGCTAAACATAAAAAACTAAAAAGCAAAACAAAACAAAACAAAAAAACAAAGCTAAACGTAAGTCATATCATCTAATCTAGCAATCAACCTTCTAAGTATTTACCAGGCTGATTTGAAAACCATGTCCACACAAAAACCTCCATGTACCTGTTTAGAGCAACTTTAGCCATAATCCCCCCCAAACTGAAAGCAACAAAGATGTCCTTTCATACATGCATGGTAATGTTATACATCCACACAAGAGAATATTATTCATTAATGAAAAGATATGAGCTGTCAAACCACAAAAAGACCTGAGTGAACCTTACATATATTGCTAAGTGAAAGAAACTAGTCTGAAAAAGCTACATAGTGTATGGTTTCAATTATATGGCATTCTGGAAAAGGCAAAAATATAGAGACAGTAAAAAGCTCAATAGTCACAAGAGGCTTAGGATTGGGGGAAGTTGAATACAGGAAACACATGGAATTTTTAGGATAATAAAGTTATTTTCCATGATACTATAATCGTGGACACATGACTCTACGCATTTGTCAAAACTCATTGAACAGTAAATACACACAAATATTTTAATAATCAGTGAGAACATTGGTAGAATTCCAGGACGGAATGCAGAGTGTGACCTAGCAATTTAACTATATTACAAATGTATGAAATAACCTCACAGAAAGTGATGAGGGAAGAAGGTGGCTGACTGAAGTGACTTTGGAAATGAGTGGCATCTGTAAGACCAGCACACAGCAACTGTACATAAGTACTGCACTAAAGTGGATAAGGCCTTTTCGCATGGAAGGAGGGTTAGCAATCCTAATACTACTACATGTGTATACAGAATCAGACAATTAAGTAAATGAATGGCAATAATGGAAGCTTACAGAGAAAAGGAGGAGGCTCGGTGGTAACACATTAGAGTTGGATACATTCGTGTAAACTTGTGTTTGGCTTAATATAAACACTGATGGATACATAGGGAAATACTTCAGATAAGCCCATGCTACCATCCATCCATCCATCCATTTCCTCGCTCTGCAGGTAGGAGGCCTAGGAGTGGTAGCAAGGAACACACCTAGCACCCAGACCTTGATTTCTAATGCCATTCCCCAATAAAAGAAACCAAGGATCCATGAGGAGATGGCCCATTCTAGGTCTGAGACAGGAAATACACAAGATGAGCCTGAGATCTTTAGCACCAAAAAGTAAGGAAGTGCTCAAAACCAAATCAACAATGAGGGTATGTCAAAGAGACATTTTGTCTTTCTAGTTGAAATAATCATAACCTTTTATTTCAGCTATGTAGTTGTGTCCTTCAGTTGGTAGGAATTTATCAAGTACCCACCAATCTATAGAACCTCTACCAAGGCACTTCTCTGCTTTAAAAAGTAGAATCAGGACTAGGGATGCAGCCCAGTGGTAGAGCACTTGCTTGGCATACACAGGCCCTGGGTTCAACTGTCAGCACCACAACAAAAACAAAAACAAAACAAATAAAAATCAAGCAGACACAGGAGCCAAATGAAAAAGTTCCCAAGGCCAAAACTGAGACAATTTGGTCAAAAAAACAAAGTGGTATTGACATATAACCCAAATTACAAATCTCTGATATTCCATAAGGATATAAATACATTATTGAATAAATGAATAGGCGAGAACAGATAAGACTCCTGTGCAGAATTCTGGATAGTTTATGTAGAAACTCATTCATCTCGGAGGAGGACCATAAATCCCTGCTATTTAAGTGTGGGCAGTTACAGTGACTTCCTTCCAAAGAGCACACTAGGGAAAGGGAGGGAAAGGGTAACTTTACCGTGGAGAACCTGACAAGTGCTACCTCAGCAGAGTGACGGGTAGCACCAAGAGTGATAAGTAGGGTCCACAGTAAGAACCCTTGACAAGATGTGATGACAATGGTGCTTTTCCTCTGTGGTCTTCATGCCTCAAACCCACAACCCCACTTTCATATGAAAAGCATAAGATGCCAATAGACGGAGATCCCACAAAGTACCTGACCAGCATGCCTCAAAGCGGTCCGGTCATTAAAAACAAAGCCAGCCTGGGAAACTGTCATAGTCAAAGGAGCTTACAGCGGAGACATCGGAGACATGACAACTGACTGCAATGTGGGTTCTGGGACATAAACAGGACAGCAGGGAAAAATGAGTGACACCTGGGGAAATTATGGAGTGTAGTTAAGGATAATAAATCACTACTGATTCAGTAACTGTAACAAATGTACCACACTAAACGAAATGTTAATAGAGAAAACAGGATGCCTGGTATATGAGAACTCTCTGTATTTTTTTTTTTGTAAACCAAAACTGGTTTAAAAAAATGTTTATTTTTAAAAACCTGATGTTCTGATTTCTCCTGAAGATCTGAAATGGATGGGTTCACATTCTCAGGCACCCATCTGTTAAGAGGGGACATGCAGTTCCCATCACGCCCCGTTGCCTCTCACCTGATCCTCATCTCACTCACACTGCTCACCTGACCCCTGTAGACACAACACTTCATCTAAGCCTTGTATTATTCATTAGATGAACAATTGTTTCTTTTAAACTCAAGGAAATGTTCCTGCCTTGCCAAAGACTGTTAGGCAAGGATAAACAACCCCATCTCTGCTAATTCCATTAAACAGAAGCAGAAATATGTCATCTTCACATGTAATTATTTCTTGATTAACTGATTAAGTGATCTTTAAAAGGCAATCGTCTTCCTTGGCACGTGCTCATGAATGTCGGAGATGCTCTCAAATTAATTCTGGTGGTAGCAGCCTGAGACAACAGGGCTGCTGAGTTATCATCTGCAGAAGTACCTTAGCTCCTACCCTGAGCTAGAGAAAAGTCAACCACAAAGATTAAGGTTCTAATACCCATCACAGAGCAAAAAAGCCTCCCAGCACGTTTTACCACCTGGACTGACTTCCCAAGGAATCTTTTGCCTCCTTCTCAGTTGTGGTCTACCAGGGAAGAGAACACACAGTAAACTGAGTTATCTGCCAAAGCCTTTTCCCTGGGTCTCAGCACATTGTTAGCTCCTGAAACCACCAGCATACTGAGAAGCACCTGCTTCTAGACGTCAGCTCAATCTCTTAGTCAAAAAAACCACTTAGAGTGATCAAAAGAAAAATACAGGTCTCCTGCTCTTTTATGAGGTGTTTTGTTTGCCTGTGATGTTCTTTTCTGGAAGACTACACTCAGATACTTTCTGCTGCTATCCTCCTACGCCGTACAGACTCCTACACTGACATCCGACATGCAGCTTTGCCTTTTAACATGGACGGAACTATACTGCTCAGTTAAAAATGTCACCCCCTAAGGCTGGGGGCATGGCTCAAGTGGTAAAGCACCTGTTAGCAAGCTCAGGCCGTGAGTTCAACTCCCAGTGCCGTTAAAAAAAGAAAGAAAATGTCACCTCCTTACTATGCCTACAGCCTGAGACAATGGAATTACAAATGGTGTCCTTTCTGCTGCCTCGATCTCTAATGCTGACTCATTACCCCACCTGTCTTGTCCTCTTGTAACCAACACCCTGACTCACCACATAAAGGGCCACAGCTCATAGCATCCTGGGATTCTGAAGAGCAAATCCTGGCTCCAACACTAACAGAGTATGGCTTCAGGCAAACTGTGCCTCAGTTTCTTCACTTATTGATGGGGCTAACTATAATCCTAGCACACAGGACTTGCAAAAATTACATGTAAAGCAACTTACATTTAAAGAACTTAGCACCAATCTTGGCACACAGAAACTGCTTAATTGTTAGTTAAGGTTTTAAACTAATAAATATCCATATGTACCTAAGACCTAATTTTTTAAATTAAGTTATTCTTATAGTGATAACCACAAATGAAAGGAAGTTGAAAACTGGACAAAGAAATCTCCACCCTTGGGTTTTGAAAATTCTGACAAATACTTTGTACTTGACAATATCTACTGTATCTCCACCAGGGACAGGGACAGGGACCTGCAGCAGTTCAGGATTTTAGGGCCCACTGCAGTGGCTAACAGTTTTTGTTCGTTCTTTCCAACAGAAGATGATAAGAAAAAAAGTTCACTCGCTTTACAAAAGTTCACCTGTTTTACATTCTGGACTTGCTAGGATTTGACATGTCCTAGTTTTCCTGCAAATCAACATTTTTCCCAAGTCTGTTGGCTAAGGAAGATCAGATTCAGGAATTCTTGAAGCTCTGTCAGCAAATGTTTGCTGGACATGTGTTTTGTACCAGGTTCTGAGAGAACCTGGCACAAGCACCCTGGGACATAAACACCAGAACATGAACGTCTATTGCTTATTATTTCCGGTGAGAAAGTTGAAGGTCAGAGGAGAGGTGCGTAGCCAGTCAGTCCTACTGCTGCCTCCTGCTTGGCACCTGGTGGGTGTTTCCTCATCCCCACCTCACACTACAGGAAGATGGGGAGGGCAGAAGATGACACCCTGACTCCCACTTCCAAATGCCTAAAGCACCAATCCTTCCTTTTCCTTCAAGATCCCCATCTCTCTGTCTATGCATTCCTCACAATGTGTTTTGGTCAAAAGCAGCTTGTCATCTTTCAGAAATTTGAACCCAAGCCTGTCTTCATTCAGTCATTTAACAATCATTCCTGAGGCTCTGCTGAGTTGCAGGCACTAGTAATACAAAAATGATCACTCAAATTAACTAGTAATCCACATTATGACTTAACTCCAAAGACCCTTACCCTGAAAACGGACTTTGTTAATGCACTATGACATATGAGCAAGAAGCTTGCTGCTGTGATATTTTCAACAGAAGAAAAATCAAACTGAGCTGTCCACCAACAGAAGATGGTTAAGTGAAAACCTGGTGGGCCTTCTCACTAGAAATGGGAGATTGTCTGAAAGGCTCCCCTATCCCTTAAAAAAAAATGTTGTCTCTGGGCAAGTTTTTTCTGTCTTCTCTTTTTCTTTTTAACTTTAGGTATATGCTCTTTAAAATCTAAAAATCTTTTTTAAAAAATTTTTAAAAAATTCATGGAGGAGGGCAAAAGGAGAATGAACACTTATCGCCAAATTTATCTATTTTCTGGGTCACCAACTTGTCAGGACTTGAAACGTATGAACGTGGCCATTTGAAAATGAAACTAGACACACATTTTAAAAAGAGAACGAGCTTTAAAACTCTGGAGAGAAAGGAGATTAGGTATCCAGGTAGAAGATTCCTAAGACTACACCTCGGTCTACACTTGATTTGCTCATTTTTAACACATCCCTGGGGGAACATCTGAACTGAAAAGAAGCCCAGAATACATCCAGTACCCTGCCAGGTGGGATTGACGGGGATCCTAGGGCTGGAAAAGGGGGTTGAGAGAATCACTTGTACCTTTTCCCTCATCTCAAACCTGTATTAGGACCGGCAACATGTAATTCATCTGCCTGTATGTCAAGCAATTCATAATTAATCCTTCCCATAACCCTGTTTCACAGGTCAGGGGCCTAAGTCCTCCAGAATCTGATGTCTTGCGAAAGCCACACAACCAGAGATCTTTGGGCGCACTTTCCCCCACCTGTCTCAGGTGGACGGGCTGGTGCTTGCCTCCACCTGGTCTCACCTGCTCGTTCCAATGATGCAGCTGGCTGTAGCGTACCCTACAGAACAGGAATCCGTCCAGGTATACGGAGTACAGCTGCAAGCACACAGACATCCCGTCCCGGGTTAGTGGGGACAACGGGTGAGCATAACCACCTGCCCCCTCCCTCCCAGGCCCAACGCAGTCCCCGAGCGCACCACGTAGCGGCCCCCCCGTGCGTCAGGCCGCTGCTGGGACACCGGAATACAGAAGTGCATCTTCATGGCTGGAGCGGGGACCTCCGAGCGGCGCTGGGAACCCGACCTGGGGCCCCCGCACGGTCCGCAGTTCTGAGCCTGACCCGGGTGGTTGCTGCCCTGGAGTCTCTCTGCGGGGCGGGGCCCTGCGCCCCCACGCGCGGATTCTGGCTGTCCGCGAGTGGGCGGGGCCCGGCCGCGCCCCCTTCCCGGCCCGCCCCCCCACCCCGCCCATCCACCGCTCGCTGCTCACCTGCACCGGAGGCCAGGTGCCTGGCTGCGCGCAGGACAAAACTGAGAGGGAGACCCTGGGGAGCGCCAGAGCTTTTATTAGGCCAGGGGTTCGCCCTGGAATCTGGACTTTTAGAGGTCCTTGAGGGGGAAATTGCGTGTGTGTGTGTTTGTGTGTGTTTCCATCTAGGGAATTCTTTTGAGGAGAACGTGCAGGGGTTTTCATCAGATTTTCAGAGGGTGCACTGAACCCACAAAAGTTAACCCCAGTAGCATGCATGTCCTACATAGGTGCCAATCACTTGTCATCCCGCCCCTGCCCCAATGTCTCAGGGTGGGCTGCTTGCTCCCTGCGACCACAGCCCAGGAAAGCTAGCCTTCTCCCAGGGTCCATGACCAGTCTGGTCTCTGTGCCTTGCAGATGTCCAGGAGCAAATGGGATCACACCTCACCTCACACTTGAACTGCTGACGTTTTTTTCTATGGGGTATCCTGACAGTTTCTGTTCCATTGCCCACCAACACTTGGTGCCATGCACTATGGATTAAGTTTTTTTTTTTTTAATAAAAAACAACCAAATTACAAAAAAAAGAACCAAAAAACCCATTGTTCTGGTAAGTACTCTGTCTAGCGGAATTATATTAGGTTCAGTCTTTTGTATTCACCATGCTAAATGTAACACAGTATATCACAATATATATAATCTTGCTTTAGTGTTTTTTTAACCTCTTTTTCCCATTAATGTATTAGAATCTTCAAAAGTAAATGTGGCGTAGACATCTCTTGATCCTGGTGGGGTTTTTTGGGGGTTTTTTTGGGGGGGGACGGGGGTGGTGGTTGTTTGTTTTGAGTGCTGAGATTATAGCTGTTTACCACCTGGCCAGGAATCCTGGTGTTAAATGGATACCACCCCCTGTTAGCCAGGCCAGGTAAACACTTTGCCCTTGGACTACCTACCCCAAGTTGTTTCAACAGCCTCTCATTTTTAGCTGCTAAGGGAAGGAACCCTCCTAATTCTCTTAAGTCAGAATGGAATTCCACCCACCTTGCTGTGATCACAGTGGCGGCTGTCACATGTGTGGGCCCATTACACACAGACAGAGTGGACTCCATTTTTCCTCCTCTCCTTAATGCATCCATAACTCTTCCAGGTAAATTTTATAGCAATGGCCTACTAATGACAAAACAGGCCCAGGAAACAGAGTGACTTTTCCAAAGTCACTAAGTGTTTTTCCCATAGGTCTGAGCGGTTTACTGCAGGAGTTAGGCAGAATAGTTGAGTCTTTTAAGGATGACTCCTGGGGGTGGGGGCAGGGGGGAGAAATGAACCAAGCCTTGTATGCACATATGAATAATAAAAGAAAAATGAAAAAAAAAAAAGGATGACTCCTGTCATTCTTGGGGTAAGGGCTGGTTGCTGAAATGGGAATCCGAGATATGCTGATGGTGAACCAGGCCCTGATACACATTTTGCTATTTAATTTTCTGTGAGCTAGGAGCCATGGGCTATTCCAGCTTTACAGAAAAGGGAACTGAGGGACAGGGTCACTAGTCTGGGAGGCAGAGTGTGCAGGGGTGGAGGATGGCAACAAGAATTTACAACTCCGCTTAAAGGCTTGAGGGGCTACCAAGTTGAGGAGCCTGTGAAGCAGTGTTAATAACTGTTCTTGCTCAAGGGAGTTCCAGAGTAGGGTAGATGAGCCTGAGGGTTTGTCTCCTGCCTGTGAGTCATCTCTCATGAGCAGGCACCAAGGCCAGGGGTGTCCCTGAGTGCCTCCTGGGGTGAAGGCTGATCAGGGAAGACCTAGGATCAGGGCAGCAAAGCATCCTGGTCAGGCCTAGAAGTGGCCCCAGTCTTCCCAGTTTTGAATTCTTAATAGAGGTCTAAATAACTAAATTGTTATGGAGCTCAATTTATGAATCAACTCTATATCGTTTCCAAGGAGTACTTTAATTTGCTCTGTGCTTGGCACACGGTCAGCATTCAGTAAAAGCTCAGCATTCTTGTGTACAGGGAAGACTCATGGAGTACATCTTTGGAGCTGGATGCTACAGTGACACTGATGGACACGACAGCCTCAGTCTCCTAATCTTACAAAGCCTACAGCCTAGTGTGCAGATGAGAAAAGAAAGGGACTTGAATAAATGTAGAAAAGCCTCCTGGTTGGTGGGAAGCTGTTTTGAGCACACTCACAAAGGAAGGGGGCTAGAACGAGGCATCTTGTTCATCTTTCTTCATCTGCCAGGGTCCTCTTCATGCTCTTGAGGTTCAGACAAGTAAGTCAGAACAGTGAAGCTGGAGAGCTTGGGCTGAGTGTGTCTGCTTGGTTTCACCTGTATTGGGCTGTGTTGAGTGCTGTAGGTTTCTTTGGAATTTGAGGGAATATAAAAAATTACAGGACAGGTTCAAAATTGTACTGTGGCAGGAAGGCAGGGAGGGGGAAGGGAGATAATGAGTGCTACAGTGAAAGAAAGAAAAACTGGAGTTGGGGAATATTACCTGGGGCAAGACCAAAAAAGAGTCACCTTGTCCCAGAGGTTAGAGCGGCCAATGAAATAACACGTGACTATGTAAGGGACAAGCTGTACCCCTCATTTCTGTAACCTGCTCTAAATGGTATATAAGGAAAGCCCCCTTTGTTCTCGGGGCTCAGGCTTTGGACTCGAGTCCACTGAGTTGCTGCTGACCTGCTTAATAGACTTGCTTCCCAAAAGCTTTGGTGTCCTCTCTGTCTCGATCTGAGCCATCCTGCAACAGTACCAGTAACGGGCAGCTCTGAAATGTCCTTGGTTCCTGGATAATTTTCTGGTCTGGACACTAACTGTATTTGGTTGAATAGTGTTCTCCAAAAATTCAGGTCCACTTGGAACCCCAGGATATATTCAGTGTGTGTTTGTTTATGGACATATTTATTTGGAAATAGAGGTTTTGCAGATAAAATTAAGGCTAAAGTGAGATCCTATTGGATTTGGGTGTCTCTAAACCCAATGAGAGTGTTCTTATAAAAGCAGAAAAGGACACACAGATACAGAGGAGAAGGCCACATAAAGATCAAGGTGAAGACTGGAGTGATGCTGCCTCAGGCCACCAGAAGCTGAAAGGGGCAAGAAAGGACTTTCCCCTAGAGCACTCAGAAGGAGTGCAATGCTGCTGTCAACCTGATGTCAGACATCAGAATTACGGGAGAATTCATCTCTATACTTGTAAGTCATGTTGTTGGTCCTATGGCCAGAATCGGTCTCATGCCAGAGTAAAGAGGGCTGACCAACCCCCCCCAACCAGCACCATATGGGTGTCTATGGGAAGACTCAAACAGAGTGAGCAGCCCAGAGGAAAGGAGATCTGTTGTTTGAGGGACAGTGCTCTGAAAACAGAGAAATGACTGGTTAACACCATGTGGCACTCACTGTGTATTAACATGTACAAGTTCATTTCATCCCCACAATAACTACACAGATGCAAAGCAATTGTTATTCCTGTTTTATAAGAGACTAAATGAGCCAGGCATGGTGGTGTATGCCTATAATCCCAGCACTGAGGCAGAAGGATAGTGATTTTGAGGTCAGTGTGGGTTACATAGTAAAACCCTGTCTTGAACAACAACAAAAAAACCCCAAAAAAAAACAAAACCCAATACAAAACAAAGATGAAATGAATTAGAGGGAAATAAATAACTGGCCCAAAGTCACACAGCTTGTAGTACACAGCTTGTAGTCACACAGCTGGGATTCAGATTCAGGCACACTGGCTCCAAAGTCCTTACTCCTAATTGCTTTTCGAAACAAAAGAAACTGTTCAGTCCATACTTGCTAAGGGGTAAGAACTATAAAAAAAAAAAAAGAAAAAGAAAAAAAAGAAAAGGCAAAGGTCCCAGATGTGGGGATGATATCAGGAAGAGGTCACTCTATGGAAATGAGAATGCTGGAATGGAGCCATTGTAGAAGTGACCCTTGAGGAGACCTGCAAACGTGCTCTGAGCAGCTCAGCACTGCATCAGTATGGGATGAAGATGAAGATGGAGAATGAAATTAACTTCAACACCTCCTGCCTGGTGGGGAGCAGACACCTGCACAGACAGCTAGATACCAGCCATGGCACAGTGACATCCAGCATGCCAGGACAGCACCCAGGAGGGATAAGGAGGGACACAGACCCAGCCAGGACAGGGAAGAGGAAGGCAGGAAGGGCATTCTGGAGAGGGTGATGTTTGTCAGGGATCTTTCTGGATGAGTAGAACTGATAAAATCATTCTAGGAAGGCAGAACTGAAAAAGCCTGGAATGATGACACAAAACCAACCAAACAAACGAACAAAACCACCAAAGACCCAAGGAATTTGTTCTCACAGGTGAATAGAGGTGAGGCCTAAAGAGGTGTGACAAGGCTGGAAGTGGAGGCAGCCTGATGGTTTGAAGGCTGAAGGTGCTGGGCAAAGAAGCTTGGAGTTTGTCCTGGAGATATAAAGTTTACAGGAGGAAGAGGACAGGGTGTATTCTACATGGAGCACTCTGAGAGTACACAGAGAATGGAAGGTGCCATATGTAACTAGTGGCGCTCAGTCAGCAAAGACATTTGTCACCAAGGCAGATTGTAGAGCAGGAGTCCTATAAGGCGCTTCTCAAAAAACAGGGTGCCCGGGTATAGAAAGTCTGGGCGACTTGATCTGTGATAATTCCCACCAGGACATTCACAGGGTGCTTTAGTGTTATCAAGAGCTGAGAACCAGCTTTGGCAAAGAAACTGGAAACTCTGTTTTAGGTCACACTGTGCAGGGCTAGGGTTCCAGGAAAGGATGT